GTCACTCGAGGTGAATGCGGTTGCATTTACAAATGACCCAAAATTTTAATTGTTATTTACAGCTAGTCATTTTATTCGTCGTTGTCGTAGTCGTAGTCGTATTTGTTTACACGTTAATTATGAATCTTATTAATTTTTTTTTTCTTTAAGGAATAGGACCTTAGCCACTTTTACGTTATTTAATAGGTATAGCTAACTACTTTACGAATTATCGGCTCGTTTCTATCAACTACACAAATATTTACGCAAATTAAATTAAAGGTAAATTTAAAGCACTATAATCCTAAGAGAGCTTATATTTAGCATCATGGAATTAATAGGAAACTACGTATGTAACACATTTGGTATATATGTTGATTAAAACACATACTTGTTACTTTGATCTCGACAGCGGAGCTACTTGAAAGTTCAGAGTATTAATTTTCCACAGGTAACCGATTATTTTCGTTCCGCTTTTAATTTGCTCGCAATTATTTTTGAGTAATGACCAATTAAAGCTGCGGCGGTATTTCGGTAGATTTTTAATATCAGTTGTAAGCCGAAACGTTACGTTAATTTAAATATCCGACCACGTAGAACATGACAGATTGCTTTCCGCAACCGTGTCGCAACTTTGAGTCGTTTATTATTTAATCTATGACAGTTAAGATAAAATGCCTGAAAAATAGGACAATTACAAAATATAATAAATATTGTAAAAGTTTACCTACGTTGTCCTCGAGACGCCCTAACCATAACAGTTTGCTTGCCCTAAATTAGCTAAAAAGGGACCGTATTATCTCGCTATGTCAATTTTGCGAGAGATATGAAAACAGAGTATCCTTACTTGCCTACTAACCTGCATTTATATATTTCACATATTATTTTTTTTATGCGATGATCAGTTAGTATTACTACATTAACGTCATCGATGCATTGCTATTTCCAATATATTTCGTATCAGATTTTTTTAAGTAAATGGAATCAAGCAGAAGCTTATTTCTATTTAGGTGTTTGATAATGTTATATCGACACCCCTGTATTTATCTACGCATATTAACTATAAAAAAATACAAAACACGTTTAAGTATGTGGTTGAGTTTTACTTTATCTAGCGTTTTGAGCTACATGTTTGTAAGGAAAATTTAACTTAAACAATATATCACATACGTTAATAATTTTTAACATATAAGAATTATGTCCTTGTCAAAAACTTTAATACTTAGATGTATACTCTTATATTAAAATTGTCATTATTATTTTATTACACAACTTCTAGTGTGCTAACCAACATCATGATTTCATAATATCAATATACCCAACGGAAATTTAAATATGTCTCATTAAAGACTCTAAAGAAGATTGATTTTCAAAAAATAAAACAATGTTTACAGACGTGTTCATTTCGTATTTATAACTTTTATGGTCAAATTACAGATCTAATTCTGCTTAGAATCGGATGTGTCTGAAACAAATTTCAATTAGGTAGTTAGATATGTTTTATGACCGTAGGTCTCTCGTATCGAGAAATTTATGCGATGAACAATATATTTCATATAAAATTTGAAAAAAAATATTTCGACTTATAAATAACTTCTCAATATGAATAGGGTTTTACATAATAATAACATTTGTAAGATATAACAGACTTGTCGTATAAAACTAGTTTACAGTGATATTTATTAGCAACCGGTACACAAAAAACATAATACGCGACTTCATAAAAATCGTTCAACATTTTAAATTTCACTTTTTCAAACTACACGTGTCGAAATATCAAATTACTTTAAAACTGTCCAACTAATCGATAATAAAATCTAAATCGTCGACCGCGCTTCTAACAACTTTCGAGGGAATCAAAAATAGTACGATACCTTTATTGACAAGATAAAAATAGGGTAGCGCATCGCAATCGCAGCACAAGTAAATTTTATAAGAAATAAATCCAAAGATAATTGCGTGTAGTGGGGACCACACCTTTCAAGGTGGCTATTATCATCAACCGTGTATCAGCTCATCGACATGGCAATTAACACGCCTCGCTCTTAAGGCCCAGCTTATTGTGATTATAACATTATGTTCCGTGTATAAGAGATTACTATATCTTACTTAATAAATATAATAGTATCGAAATGTTGGGTTCTCAAATTTCTGCAATTTTATTCTAAATGCTTCCACGAAGTCATATAACAGCACTTTTTTAAACATCTTTAAGAAAATTGACAACGAACATTAACTGAAATCTTAATTAATTATTTTTCTAAATCATTTTTTTTTCTTTTGTGATAACCTATTCCTCCGTTATTGATATGTAGAAGTTATGTATTTATGTATAAATGAATGTGTTTATTTATATCATTTGTATTTATGCCTACATGTTATTATTTACTTATATACTTATTTTATACGACATGTGCTGGTATATTTATGCATTTCTAGGACTGACTGCGTGTAATTTTCCAACTACTTTTAATATTAACACAACAAAACTACTTATGAATTCGTGAATTTACTGTCAATTTATCCATCCTAAGGTTATCTGTAAGAGACTCCAAATTCACATACAGTAATCTTGTAAAGATAAAAAAAACGGGTTTTGATTATAATTAAGTTTATTATATTCTGTCTAACTTATTACAATTTAAGTAATCAAGGTTTTGGATTTACATAATTCAACCTATAATCATTAGAATTAAATTTATTTTCACTGTGCTTATAACCCTGCCTTAACAACACGAAAACAATAATGGTGTTTAACATCGTTTTGTCGACACGTATAATCGCGATAATCACTATAATACGTACTCCAAAGACTTAACACTTTTAAAACGCCACAAGAAAAACAACATAAAAAATACACTCAAGTTTTAAATGATACTCGTACCAGTAGTGAAATTCGAATGGGTGACTATAAATTAAGAAAAAAAAATACAATAAAGGCGTAAATCAGATATAAAAGAAACATAAATGCAAACCTATTATTCTAATAAAATGTAACATGAATTGTGGTTTTTCCACTGACCACATCAAAATAATTTTACGATGATGGTCCCATTAGAAATGAAAAAGATACAATCATTTTAACGCGCCAGTACCGATCTGATTTATAGATTCTGGTGAGAATCTACTTTGTCACAAAGAAATGAGTAGACGTATAGTGAAATGTTATAAGAACAAAGTAATCAGAGAGTTGGACGTGGGCCAGAACTAAAGCCTAGAGCAATCATCGAGTGCTGTCATTCTAGGCATATGTAAAAGCAACGACATACCAACGAGACACGCTATAGACAAATGTCAGACAAAATTATAAACGTACAAATTAATAACATACGATTTAAGGCTTAGATTAAACAAACAATACAAGTTTAATAGAGCTGAACAAGATATAGAGCACATTAAAGTGCGGTCTGCATCTAGGAAATCAATCTAATCTAAATAACCAAAGTCTAAATCAAACTGCATTGAGTTAATTGTAGGTTCTTTACAAATCCATACTACTATAAGACTAGCGTTCGTGTGAGTAAATCAATAAAACTGTTATTTCAGCCTCCGACATCGATATGTGTTTGATTTAAAATAACATTTCGTGACGTAAAATTCTAGATAAAATTCGGCATCAATCTATTTTAAGATGTTGTAAAAGATGTTTGCTTATTACAAATCGCCCTTGAAAAGGTTTAGCAAAGACGGACAGTAACATTTCAAATAGTAAAGGATTTACGATATAATTTATGACGTTTTTAAAAGTAGTAGTACGATTTGATTTATAGGTAATAAAAAACGTCACAAATTGATTGATGCTTCAGCGTAGACTGTTTCAAGCATATATTAACTTAATTGATCAGTAAAGTACTGTAAGAAATAAATTACAAAAATATTTGTCCCTCAGTTCACGACATTATAATAAGAAAGGTACATATTTATAAACCTGCTACAACTTTGCTCCTATAAAATAAAATCAATCAAACATTTTTATGGAAATAACACGAAGAAAACATACTTGGGTAACATGAATAAAGAATGAGCTTGACCAACCTACTAAAAATGTGCGTATATCCTTGACGGTATCACAATATACTTATTATCTTGCCTACATTTGTTAGTTTAAGCTCAATGTTTTATTAACATGGAGGCTATCTGTGTAAGAAATTATTAAGGAATGTATTTATTTTACAACTCAGGGTAAACTTCATTGCCATTCTTTACATTTTTGCTATTTGTTCCATGGTCAATTTATTAGACTACATTCTAATAAATTGATGAATTGTAAAGAAAAACATTCTTTAATAATTTCTTATATACTCGTAGTAAAATTTATAAAATAATACTGATCAGTAAATTCAATACTGATATACACTTCATTTAAAATTGGTCCATTGTTTTCAGATTCTTGAGCAACTTTTCTTTTTGTTTACTATTTTCATCTGTCTGACAAAGTAAAAATCCAGTTCCAATATTATACAAATTAAAATAAACTTTTAGTGGTTCATCATCAGCCTATCGCAGTCCACTGCTGGACATAGGCCTCTCCCATTGCACGCCACTTAGATCGATTTTGGGCTTCTCGCATCCAGCTCCTGCCAGCCATCTTGACCAATTTTAGTGGTTGTCGTTTTGTAGTTTAATTATTAATTTGCCGTAACTCATAATACATAGTAAATGCTTGAATGCGTAAATTCGATGCGTGACCGATCTATGTAAAAATGCGCCAGTTGAAACAGATACTGCCGTCTATAATTGTACTTAGTAAATATACTTAAACGAATGTAGGTTATCAATTCTTACCACTTTCCTAATCAAAAATTTGCCATACAAATAAAAAAAAAAATTTATATATATCTTTTGCATCAAATTGATCATCGTGTAAAATGTAATTAAATTCAAATATTTTTAATTATTATCTAGTTTAGTTACATATTTTATCGAGAACGATATGTGATATAATTTAGTTTTATAAACAAACGACTCTTTACTGATCAAATAAACATTTGCCCAGTTTAAGAAGTGTACTTAATGTGAAAATGGTGAATAAGGCAATTTTTCTTCTGGCGATTGCCATGGTAAGTAGCTCTTGTTATCTTTTTGGTTTTTTTATAGAATAGAGGGCAAACGGAAAGCGACTACCGCAGCCCATGAACGCTTGCAACTCAGGAGTCACAACCGCGTTGCCGGCCTTTGAGGAAGGAGTACGCTCTTTTCTTGAAGGTTTAGGGGTCGTATCGGTCTGGGAAAACCGCTGACAAAAACCCGTTCCACAGGTTGGGAGTGCGATGCTAAAAATGTCTCGAACAGCGCACAGTGGTGGATTACCAATTATCCAAGTTTTGGTGATAAAAATTTTGTCGTATGGAACGATGGCGGAAAGTTGCGGCCGCTATTAGTCGGAACAATTCCTCGTAGTACTCTCTACGATACGAGTATATACGATAGAGAATGAAGAGAGAAGCTAAATCTCTACGCAACACAAAAACCATATTCTTGAAGTTACAGATGTCAAATATTTTTTATGATTGCAACATTTAAATGGACGGAGGAAGATCTAAATAAAAAAAAATCCTTTTGGATGTGTAATCCGAGTATCATACACATTAAAATTTCATTGACATATTTTCGACCATAAATTGTATATCTGTCTAGACATTCTATTTTAGATGATTATGGTCACATCGTTTCGAATAGAAAAATTGTTCTGATGACACTTGTACTCGTACATTGTCAATTTAGGTCACTATATCCATTTACAATGTTTCTTTTGGGATTGATAATCAATTTCAAAGATTACACAACGACGACTTAAATGTTTTTTATGCAAAGAAGTTAGAATTAGTAAGAACGTTTAGTACGTATAAACATGTCAAGTTTTTCCAGTAATGTCACATAGTCTCGTAAAAAGCCGCTTAAGGATTAAAGACAAATTTAAAACTCAACAATAAGTTTAACATTGAGACTGTTTGCTTAATTTTATAACTAGAAAATCTACATAGGTTAAAAAATGTCTGGTAGGTTAAGGAACATTGAGCCGTAATTAATATTCGGATGCTTTGAACCGTGCCGATACACGTTTACGCTATGAGCGGGGAATGTTGGCGCCATTCATGTTATTTGGATTTGACAGCGGATATCACGTAAACGTCGTGTAAACTTCCAAACTGAATAGTCACGTGTTTTTCATTTACTCATCTTTATTATGATTGGCAAATATTATATGTTTATAAAATTGGTTACAAACACCTATATTGCTAAAGGTTAGGCTTTAGATATGATTTGGTGATGATTACTTGTACGACGTTGTATAAGAATTACTAAGTTGTATGATACATATTATGTGGACTCGACCTAGTTGCATACGCAAGCTACAGATGGGCGTTTGTATAGTCGCTACGACGCTAGTGAGCCTAGCCATCTTTGTCTTATTTGCCGACTACGACTGAATGGCTAATTTAGAATCCCACTTATCTGATTCAGTTGTTCATTCGACCTGAATATTCCGGATTCATAAATTTCGTGCTCACGTCATATTGATGGCATGCTATTGTATTTGTTAAACTATCAATGACATATCGGTTTCATAAAATGGATTAAAGTGAAATAAAATGTAGACGTAAATTTAAACGCACCGGCAAAATGTTAAAATGAAAACAAATTTGTTTTGTTTGAACATTGTATAAGTCTGCTGGATACTGTCTAATACTATTCTGTGAAGCACCAACGAAACAACGCAGTTAGTAAAAGTATAATTTAGAAGGAGTGCACCTCATCGCATGTGCTGATGGAAAGTCTGTCTGGTCTAATCAGCAACTATAATCTCGGTAATTCAAACACATTGTCATTATAATGTTAACTTTTTGGTATTTAAGGAACAAAATATTATAAACCTATGTACAATAGATAGTTTTATTCTCCGAGAAGAATATTCCTTTTCTGGCTCAGCTTTATCAATTCCTTGTCCTATTTTTCTATGTTTGCTCAAATTGCATGTTCTAAACGTTTTAGCCTTGTCCGTGGTTGTCTCGAGCCTTAAACGATAAACAATTGAAAGTAATAAAGTAGCATATGCATTGACTACTTAACTGATTGAACGGTGAAAATATTTACTTTGTTGGATGATTTAAAATATTTGCAAATAACGTAATGAATTTTACCTTCTACCACATTATATATTTTTAAAAGAGTAGTCAATTTAAATAATAATTTTGGTACATGCACTATGTGTAATTGTGTAAATATAAAGTGTGTGAATACTTCCTCCATTAACGAGGTTCAAATTGTCTTAAATATATTTATACCAATAATTGAACAAAATGTATCATTATTTTATGTCGTCTTAAGTGTCAATGACATAAATTTTCTTTACACAGTGCCAAGTTATTGAATCATTACGGAGAACGAAAATAATAATATAATTATTCAAGTGGCTTAGGGGTGACCCCTACAATGTATTATATTTCGTGTTAAATATAATTTGAATGATTCTGTAAGTTCGAATAAAGAAAAAGGGTCCTATCCCAAATAATATATATCAAAAAATACACATTTCAAATATGAAATACATAATATATCTAAACATTCGAAAATCCACTCTAAAAGTTTCAAAGTTTTAAGCAAATGTCGCCCTCCCTTCCGACCTCAGGCCCGAAATTACTTTATAGAATATTTAGTCTACTCTCTTCTCTACTCTATTATTTTTTGTATTGACTTAATATGTTAAATTTTTCAACGTTATGCATACAAACTTACTTGACAGGCCTGTGGTCTAGTGGTTAGCGATCCTGACTGCTAGCCATAAGTCGTGGGTTCGATTATAACGCAGGACAAATAATTGTGTGACGAGCGCGATCATTTGTTTTGTATTTGGGTGTAAGTTTTCTAATTATGTAATGTATTTAAAAATGTATATGTATGCTTATCAGCAGTTTGGTTACCTTTGGCGCAGGCTCTGCCTTATTTGGAATCTGACACCCGTGTGTGAAATGTGTTTAGTAAAAAAGAAATTTAATAAAATTGAGATTTTCGGTACGGAACGCTATCCAAGTTATGCACTATGCACGTTTTATTTTTAATTGTAATGTATTGTAAATCATGTCATGTTATTGTTTATATTTCGTGTTAAATATAATTTTAATGATTCTGTAAGTTCGAATAAAGAAAAAGAGTCCTATCCCAAATAATATATATCAAAAAATACACATTTCAAATATGAAATACATATCTAAACATTCGAAAATCCACTCTAAAAGTTTCAAAGTTTTAAGCAAATGTCGCCCTCCCTTCCGACCTCAGGCCCGAAATTACTTAATAGAATATTTAGTCTACGCTCTTCTCTACTCTATTCTTTTTTGTATTGACTTAATATGTTAAATTTTTCAACGTTATGCATACAAACTTACTTGACAGGCCTGTGGTCTAGTGGTTAGCGAGCCTGACTGCTAGCCATAAGTCGTGGGTTCGATTATAACGCAGGACAAATAATTGTGTGACGAACGCGATCATTTGTTTTGTATTTGGGTGTAAGTTTTCTAATTATGTAATGTATTTAAAAATGTATATGTATCAGCAGTTTGGTTACCTTTGGCGCAGGCTCTGCCTTATTTGGAATCTGACAGCCGTGTGTGAAATGTGTTTAGTAAAAAAGAAATTTAATAAAATAGAGATTTTCCGTACGGAACGCTATCCAAGTTATGCACTATGCACATTTTATTTTAAATTGTAATGTATTGTAAATCATGTCATGTTATTGTTTGTGTTATTTGTAAATAATGACTTATCTAAAAAAAGTATGTGGTCTTACATTACTGCAAAAAAATTAGTAGCTTTTTTAAATATATTCATGTCCATTAAATCTTAAGAAGTTTTAATACGCGAATTGAATTATTCATAATATATTTACCTTTGATGGACATCACATTAATTAGGCATTGATGTTAAATCTATACTAATATTATAAAGCTGAAGAGTTTGTTTGTTTGTTTGAACGCGCTAATCTCAAAAACTACTGGGCCGATTTGAAAAAATCTTTCAGTGTTAGATAGCTCATTTATCGAGGAAGGCTATAGGCTATATATCATCACGCTAAGACCAATAAGAGCGGAGCACCAATGAAGAATGTTTCAAAAACGGAGAAAATTTATTACTATTGAGAGACGCAGACGAAGTTGCGCGGGTCAGCTAGTAGACTAATAAATGTGCGCTGTATATTAACTCAAGTAGAAGACCTTCATAGGTTATAAGTGTATTCTGACAATGATCATATATTATATATTTAATTGCTGTGCTTAATTTGGTGGACATAAACTGTTATTTAATGATATGAACGAGCGTTAACAGAACCGTGATATGTCTACTACTCATAACTTACGAATCTCGTCACTTGAAAATTGCACCGTGTACTTGCTTTGTTAATCACTTTCTCATAAAATACATAACTGGGAGAAAATGCCTATGGCATTAAGTCCGCAAATGTACAACTTGTGCATAAAGAATAAAATAAATAAAAAATAACTCATTTAGTATCTTTTTAAATGCCTGTAATATTACTCGTAGGTTTAAAAAATTGAGACTTGAAAACGATAATTTGCTACAGTTTAAATTGCTTGTGCTTACTTAGATATAAAGACTTTATGATTACTTTAGTTAATATGTAAAAGTTACTTTATATTCCAATACAAAAAAATAATAAAATTGGGATTTATTTGGGTTGAATTTAACCTAATTATAATTTACAAAATTATACACCACACAATTTATACTCACGCACAATATTCTCCATATTGTTAGCTTTATTGCCGCTTGTAAATTTGTGAAATTGCCCTGTTTCGTTGGGTAGATATTCTCCTGCAAGTCTCGCCTCTTTAGATTAAGTAAATTATTGCTTGCAATAAAAGTGATTCAGTAGCACTTACTCACGGCCTAATGCATCAATGTCGACACCCTTCTTCTCTTCGAGAACATGAGGTTCACCACACAAAGGGAAGTTCATTTATTGGCCTTTAAAAATGAATCATGTCACACTTAATTAAAGAAATAGCCTTTTTGTATTGAGGTCAAACGGGTATGGTACGTCCAACGTGAGATTAAGATGTCCTTATCTTATAGTCTAGGGTCATAAAAGTGCACATTAGAGGCGGCTAATGTTCCAAATGCATTAGTGTCACATTAATAATTACGAAATATTTGTGAGTATAATTTAGCCCATATGTGTTTTAATACATTTCTATTTACAACGGCACAACGGTCACAAGATCTTGCAGCTTCGTAATTCTATCTATGTGAAGACGAAGAGTTATACGAGGTACATACATGTGTACTTTCTTAGGTTTTATTTCATTTCCACTATATGTTTAGTTCTATCACAGAACGTATATACGTGATCTAAAACAAAAATAATATTAACACAAGGCTGATCAGTAGGTAACTTAATGATTGCGCAACTGTATTGAAACCGTTTCCTCAACGGTGTCCGTATCTGAACATACAGACTGTAATGACAGGCATGAAATGCTAATTAACCATCTGCATTATTACACTTACTGCTTGTCTGATATGCTGGTATCGTACAATTTGACAATTAGTTGAGGTGAATGTAAGTTAAACCTCTTAGTGGATTATTTATAGCGAGTGCCTTTCGCTCTGTTAAGAAGCCGCATTTCGTTTTTTTTCCAAAATTTCAATATTTACCTGTGGGATATTTTTAAACCTTTTATCCAACGTTTTTACGGAGCATATTCTAAAATAAATATTTTTACCTACCACAAAAAGTGCATCAATTACTCATCAGACGGTATTTGTTTCGTCTGCACTTCAACAACATTCGAAAATTATTTACTGTAGCACATAGAAAACTAAATATTTTGAACAGTGTATGTCTGTAAACGCAAAATAAATTTGTTTTATTGGTACAATATAATTATTTCATGTAAAGGTCTATTTAAACATGATTAAGTTCGTAATAAAATTAACATCAAACAAGATTGAAAATTAATAACGTCAAATGATAGGAAATATTAATTATTATTTATCGAGAACGTGAACAATTCAATGAACTTAATCTTAAGCTTGGATTTATTTAAATTACTTTCTTCTTCTATGTATTAGTTACAGTCATGTTCAAGTAATAGTATAACCGAAGTTGATTTTTATCTTGGCATATTTTTTCGCATCAAAACTATAAATAAATTTGCCTATCTACAGTCGATTTCTCCATCCAAATGTTATCTGTAAGAAATTGATTTTTAACGAAACGAAACGGAACAACGAGATGTTATTGACGAGACGAGACCCTTGTATGTATGATGTACTAAACTTATGTATAATAAATTTTCTTCCATGCTATATTTCGACGTTGTTCATTCGGCAACTTTTTGTACACCGCCACTGTAAACTATCTATTAACTATCTAACTACTATTATCTTATCATATCCCACCAAGAATATAAAAATAAACACATAGTATAAACATAAGATTCTGTACCCAATACTAAATATATTGTAACATCGTACAGCAATTTAGGATTGCTGCTACTGCTGCCCGCTTATAATCTATTATATTAGTATTCAATGACGTAACGTGCAATAAGTAGTTGAATGTTTTTTGTGCTTGTGCGACTGCACAAGTGTCTCAAAAGTTTCAAAATCATCATTATCGTTATGTCATTGAATACTAATATAATACATTATAAGCAGGTTCGCCCGTTCTTGATGTTTATATATAATAATACAGAAGGCGATTTCCTGTTGTCAATGTTGGTAATCCTGGTTGGCAGACCGTAGCCCGACACCCGTGTAATACGATGACAAGTTAATAATCAGCCTGTAAATCATCTTAACACTTCATGTGAAATTGCGTGACTAATGCATTATATCTACTGTTATACAGATATACTGTTTTTTATTTCACATGAAAGATTCATTTTTAGTTATTTACACAAGTATCTAGATCCTAACCAACTATCATTTCTTCATTTGTAATTGTTTTTTTTTTTCTTTTTGCTAGGCCGTGGGTCGCGAAGGCGTTCTAGCATCTTCATCATCACGAGAACTTCGATGTGGTAGGCGGCTAGTGTCGGGACTATTCTCGCGACCTAGACTCCCACTTGGCTACTCGTACGTGACTACTGTGCCGCGGGGTGCCTGCAGGCTAAACGTCTCCGAAGTCATTCCCAGTGATAATTATATAGGTCAGTATTCGAACGGCCTCCTATAAGTGTGTCCCCATATACAAACATTTAACCTTTTTCATAATACAGCAATATCGATTTTTGATTGAAAGTATCACGTGTATCATTAATAGTAAGGTCGTAAGGGGAGATCTTAATGAAGAGATGAAGTGTTCAGTAGTGCAAAGATCGATGTCGAATCGATTAATGGGAATTGCACATGCGCACCGCTCCCCAGCTCTTCAATAGAGGCGCCTACGCCGCAAATTGTGAGATAAATGGAGGTAGCCGTCTGCACAATTGGTGGTTAATTATTTGCATGACGTAGGCACTAGCAATTTAGTTGAGGTTAACAATTTATTGAACGCTTGTTTATTCAATTACTTTCGTTTAATAATCGTTATTGGATAGGTACAAGTGCATTTTAATTACAGCGTTGAAAGTATCGAACGGTTCATATATAATGAACGGCGAGTTTGCGGTGAGCGCGGCTGGAACATACGAAGCTGCTGGTGCTCGCTTCATCTACACCAGGGAAGCTGGACAAGATCATGTCTTTGTACATGGACCCATACATCAGCCCATTGATATCATGGTACATTTTTATGCGATACTATTAATTTTGAATAATAGGATATTCATAAATATGTAGAATAAAGCTTATATACTGTATTTAAATTTTCAGATTCTGTATACGCAACCAAATCCGAATATTAAATACGAATTCTTTACTGACTTGGAACCTGACGAAACAAGTAACGATATACCGACGTCGAACCCTGCCCCATCTCATCACGTAGCGCAACGTCATCACAGGCATCACAACAGTGAGGCCCATACAAGAGATCTTGAAATGAAATCAACACCTTCGTTTTCGAAGCTCGATTTAAACAACTTGGAGAGTCAGTCACAAGTTGACAGTAACGTTATTGGGACCAGAAAATTTGTTTGGAAGATATTGGAGTTTTCGCAATGCTCGCGAAGTTGTGGTGGTGGATTACAGATTGGAAAATTTAAGTGCGTTGAGGTCTCTGAAAAAGCTGACAAAGAAGTTTCTTCATTCCACTGCAATGGAACTCCCCCTCCAGCTCGTAGACGGCGGTGTGGAGGTACTCCTTGCCCTCCCCGTTGGAGAGCCGCCCCATGGGGGCCATGCCCTGTGTGTGGCCCAGCACACAGAACACGTATCGTAGGTTGTGTGCAAGATCATGCGCGAGGCATAACTAAGGTACTTAACTCACTAATACACCTGCCGTCACTAACTAGAATACAAAATCATCATTTTAATTTGTCATTCTTAAGTTTGTTTTTCGAGTATAACACCAATTTATGATCATTCTTATATATTTTAAAGTGACACAATATTAAATCACATAAGTCGGTAAAATGTACCGATATTCCTGTTAAAGGAAACAACTCAACTATACAAGAAATATTAATTTTAAAGTAAGATAGGAGAATAAAAAGAAACTTAATTCCTAATGGCATAAATACTTTCAGATAAGTGACCAAAAATGTCCACTTCCAATGCCACCAAGCAGTGAACTGTGTGACATCCTGAACTGCGACGGCACAGCTACGACGACTGCGGTGCCTCGCCTCGATGCTCGACGTCAAGTTCGGACTAAAGACCGAACGGATACCTTCAGAGCTGGTCCTGTGATCTCACTGGCTACAAATTATAATGACACGGATATTAACATGACACCAGAACCGCATTATACTTTCAGTGCTGGCGGGGGATGGCTATACACTGAATGGTCGAACGTAAGGCAAATAATAACAAAATAAAATTAAAAACTTACTAACGTACTTCAGTTTTTAATGTCATATTTTATACGTTCGTAAAAAAAGTTGTTGTTATCGTTGTTTAGTCGATGAATATTAATTAATTCAGCCACAAAGAAAGTAACATTTTCTCAAAAAAAATATTTCTTTTTACTCGTATTATTCTTCTGGATTCTTTTATAATACATAAGGACTAATACCTTTACTCGCGATCTTGAAATAGGTTACGTTCTTTCTGTGACGCACACGAGTATTTGTTTCCATATTCACTTGCCGTCTAACTTTAATACATAAGTTTCACTACTATGTTTAGAAAATCTGTGTTTCAGTGTGTGGGCTGGTGTGTGGGCGGAGGTGTGCAATCTCGCGGAGTTCGATGCGCCAATCCTAATGGCTGCAGCACCCATCGTGCTCCAGAATCAACACAAATATGCACCATTAAGAAACAGTGCGATGCTCATTGGTTTACTAGTAAGATTCAAATAACCTCTTAATATTATTTTTACGCGAATACAATATATTTTCACTTTTCAATTCCATTATTCTAGGTGATTGGTCTCCGTGTTCAGCGAATTGCGGCGGTTACCAAGTGCGTGGTGTGATATGTATTGGTGGTAACGGTAGGAGACTACGAGATTCTTCCTGCAGAGGGTCTAAGCCGGAGACCAAACGTGAATGTGGAGATGCTTGCAGTCCATCTTGGTATCTCAGTGACTGGAGCGAGGTGCGCCAATATTTGTTGGAAATAAACTAAATAAATATATATTAAGCTACATAAACATTAATAATTAAAGCATTCAATCAATTAAAAAGTTTGTTAATATTTTGTCTGAAGATATGAAATATATCACAATCGGTATTTATTATATACAAGAAATGTTTTGTTTCAATTTTGCGATAATAATTCAAATTATTCCGTCAAAAAAGTTTAGACATTAGTCATGTTGATGTTGTACCTCTTTAATTAAGAGCAAGGCAAAAATAATTGCTATGTAATATACATATATATACATATACATATAATATACATATATAATATACATATACATATAATATACATATACAATGTGAATATCTAACCATAAACTTGCTATGTTTGGAATCTATTATATATCTACGAATCTTATTTAAAGAAAAGGGTTTCCTTACATTAACAGGCATCTATATCATGGAGCTCTGCCTATTCATAAAATGCAATTCTAATTTAAATCAAATTCAAAAACAAATATTCGCAAAAGATATACATACAATATTAACATACCTAACATTAATAATACCATATACTACAAAAGCACATATATCACCGCTATACGTGTTACGCATTCCCGTAAACATGAAAAAATTAAACGGAAATATATTTAGAAATAGTTCAAAAAAGTGGTTAACAAACAATGTGTTCTATAGTCTGAGAGAGAATTCTTTGATGCTAAAATAGTATAGCCGTAATCATTTAATTATGTATTCAATTTGATTTCACATAAATTGCAACACCTGAACTGGGTAACTGTTGAGCCTGATACCAATATGTAAAAAACACCCTAATTTATACACAGATTTTATGCAATAAATATATGTCTATTATCTCGGTTCATGAGTTAAATTTACTTCAAATGGCAGTTTCTCAGCTATTATTTAAACGCATCTGACTAAACTGACATACGAAGTGGATGATCAAGGTTTTGAAGAGGAATGTTGGTAATGATTAGGACAATGATTCCAAATATGCCAATGCTGGTGGGCCCGCCCTCTCTAATATGGTTAATGAAGACGACATCAAAACAACTTGATTAATTAATCCAAACCTTACTCATTCTGTACCGATTAGTGGGTAAATAACCTCTTCCACGGTACTTAACTGTCAGTGGAGTGTATTTTCATAAATAGCTTTGTATTAGACGTTATTCTCACTACGACTGAACTTTATTACATGATTTACAAATATTTTAACATAACTACTTATAAGCAAATATTAGATAATAAATATATATTAAAATTTAAATTATTTTAAAAATAACAATTTAATTGATATGTTAATAAAAATATTTACTATACCTTATTATTATTTGTGAAATTATTAATATTTTCTGTAGAACTATGTCGTTATGTGTTTTGGATTACCAAATCTTATGCAGTTTTCACAAATCAACAATCTGATGTAGTTTAGAAGTTCCAACCGTATAGAGACTGTCATGGATGCATATGACGTCTTGAGAGCCAATTTTTATGATTGATATTTTCATATTTTAAAACTTATCAAACAGAAACTTCCGTCGGATCAAGTGTGATAAGATGTGTAGTTAACATAGCGAAAAATGCCTATGGTGTCATCTTTATGGTGTTGTTGTTGCCTATGTAATGAATGATCTCTATAGTGCTCTTCTTATATTGAGGCAATTATTTTACTTTTACATTTAATAAAAACTGAATTTCGATCTTTAATACTGAGTCCACTTTTTAGTGTCAAGGGCCATGCGAGGCAGGTGTACAGTCGCGCACAGTGTGGTGTGCACGTGGGGGTGCGAGCGGCGCCAGTGGTGCGGCGAGAGACGCCGACTGTACTGGCGTGCGACCTGCTGCCAAAAAGTCTTGTGTACCATCACGTTGTTCGACGAGGCCTCCGATCAATACTGCTGTGATTAACCAGCCACCTCCCCAAGGTTTGTGGTTTAAATCATGCCTGATGTGATAGATAGAATTGTCCTCAGTATTTCTGAGGTAAATTAAAACTTAATAGATTCTGTGAATGTGGCTTGACTATAATTTAGATAAGCTATAATTCTGGATAAATTAACAAACCACCCTTATAAGCTACTCTTACCACTGATATAGGAGAATGATGTTCCCTACAACGGTCTTAAGGACGGAAACATTAAATTTCATAGCGATGATTTGGGGTATACCTACATAATAACGCCAAAAAAACCCTAAAAAAAATCAAATGGGCCAATTCTTAATTTAAGTACCTATTAACAAATGAAGTTTTTCTTACAGCGTAAACAACAGCGAAAACATTTTACAACAAACATTTACTTTTCTTGCAGATTCCTAAAAACTTAATGTTACGAAACTAGCGTATAATACTTACAATCATAAGTGTCTTTTAATTTTCATGTAATTTTTTTTCCACCTTTTCAGTTTCAGACCCGCAACAACGAGTAACAAGACATCAGAACCATAACACACAGAATTCTAGAGACAGATCTTACGCTGACGGTAAGAAATAAGTACAATAGGCTAAACCTAAATGGGAGTCTACTTTCAGCTTTGCTCTAAATACTTTTATTTTTAAGTAGAAGATATTTCGAGCCACAGTTTATGAAAGATAAATTACTTAATTTAGATATATGCGACATATGAGCGTTCTGTATTTACATTTTACTTTTACTACCAAATAAATACTGCGATACTAAAATAAGACCAGATAACCGTAATACGATCGAACATGTAATAGTATTTAATTCATTTGAAAATGTTCCGTGAACTTCACAGTTGACTAAGGTTACATCATCATCATCATCAATAGCCTTTAATAGTCCACTGCTACATAAGGTTACATCAAAGGCTATTATTTACGTTTGTTATTAATTCTTTATTTCATGTCAATGTTTCTTGCTTAAATATATGTTCTAGGGAGCCTTATTTTGTCTCGTGTGCCTTTCGGTAAAATCGGTAAAATTCAAACCATTTCATCTTGTATTTTGTTTTATACTTTTAAACATTATAGTGAAAATGATAACTCTTGGTTACCCTAAATTTGCCGCTAGATTCTTCTAGCGGCAAAATATTGAGTTGCGGGTTTCTACCCGTAACTCAATATTTCACATCACACATCTACAGCCTTTAATAGTCCACTGCTGGACATAAGCCTCTCCTTAGAAAGGAGAGGCTCTATACCCAGCAGTTTACTAACTCTATATTTACTGATCTATTTTTGTAACTTTTAAATGAAAACAATAATGTAAAAACAAAAGTTAGTAATATTAGTAACAAACCAAGAAAATGTTGTTATTAATCACCGTTGATGTACATTACTTCGCTTTCATTACATGTACAGGCGCATGCGTCGACAAACTGAACAATTGCGCTTTGGCGGTGCAAGCACGTCTCTGTCACTACCCGTACTACGGCGAATACTGCTGCAAGTCCTGTCATGGCCGATAAACTAATACTTTTTGGGTATGTAAGTTAACTGTTGCTATTTTTGTAAAGTAGTCATCGATTGGTGTCAGTGTCTTCGTCTGCGTAGGACCTCTAACTATTTTAACACCTTTAAATTATGTACCAAAAGTAGCCTATATCCTTGTCCAAGGTTCCTTCTATCACAACAACATTGGTTCAATAAATCAAGACAAACGTAGATATAATGTAGTTTTCGAATTGTTGGCCACTTATCATGAAAATAAAAATAATTGACACACACACTGCAACTATTTTCACTATTTGGGCAACAATAGTGGAGTCACACAATTTAATACTATAACTTTGTAGTCTATGTTGCTACTAGTAATTAATTTCAAAGCTTACACGCAATCTACAGCAAGCCATAATGTACCTAAGTGGCGAACAATTTGAGTTATGCGCTCTAAATAATTAACTATCGTTTAATACAATAAATTTGTATGTAATAACTCGTTATATAAGCTTTAATCAATTGTTATTTTCTTCAATGGATATACATATGGTGCATACCTACATATATATTATATACCACAATGAGTAAATATTATCTTAATCGTAATATTTTTTTGTGTTCACAGGTAACCAGTACATATCCAGCACTTGAAGCGCTTTAACACGTATTGTTATACGAAATGGACGCATAGTGAGATACATAGTGGAACAGTGTACTGCGACAGATGCCGCACGCACTCATGACTCACACTCAAAAATACATACATATGCACACATAAACGTCAAAGTACACAACATGAGTTAAATAATAACGTGTGTTAAAGTAAGTGATCTAAACAATCATTTACTTACTTACCGTGTTACAAGTGTAGTTTCAAATGGATACCACGAAGCAAATGGGATCGAATGAATCGATCTCTTTAGAAAGATTTTCATGAACCGGTACTTAAAGTCTGAATCAAACCAAAGTGAAACAGACGAACATGTATCTGAGTGACCTGAGTGGAAATTTCAATCGAGTTCAATATAACGTGAATAATTGCACAGTCTAAACCATATTGATTTAATATTAATCTCGGTATATTGAGGTGCAAGAGTGTGAATGCGGCTCGATACGAACATTCGATTGTTCGAATTCGTTAGGATTAGGAATAGTTTTGTGATCTCCAAATTGTTTAGTCGAGTTTTGGAGTCGATCTGTGAACTGTAGGATATAACTCAAAATTATATAAATGAAAAATATTATTTTATACGTTATTATTGCACGACATGTTATCGAGTTGAGCACTACGCGTAGTATTATAACTTGCCTATAACCAAGTAACGGAAGCATTTTACCGAATTTCGTTTATTTGTGTATTATTTAGGAGATTAATTATTACCTATAAGCATGTCAATACAGCAGTTCGTATTACATTTATATACAACTTAGGCTATGCTGTAGATTAAGAGCAAAATAGTATTTCTTAGATATTGTAATAGTTTCTACGGTATGTACTTATACATAGAAACTAAAAGGTGGATTCACACATCTACATAAATATATTACTATATCATTTGTCAGTGAGGGAGTTCTACAAACTCGCATTACTCTGACAAGGGTATTGTTCCATGAATGTTATTTCTCACAAACTTGAAAAATGTCGTGTTAAATTGAGTATTTCGTCTATTTTTTCTGCCCAATTTGATATCTACATATAATAAGTAATACAAAAATAGCGCATATCAGTAAACACATAACTTCACGCTGTTAATTTTGTAAACAACACCAATTCAATTCAATACGTGCAATACAATTATATTTTTTAATAATTACTAGCTCTATAAGGTATAATTCATGGTGATAACGATGGTCTCAGGCAACCCGAAAAATCAAAAATAAAATTACCTGTTTTTCCATCAAATTGTATATGAAAAAAGGGGCGCATTATTTTGGTTAGAAATGGTTCCCTATTCTTTAAGACGACATTAAATAACAATATTTTTTTCGGACGTGTGACAAACGCACCAGTGTTCGTGTTAACTTATTATACCGATTCTATTATCAAAGAGTCACTTCTGTGTTAAGATTTGAATTGTGTAAATAGATAATTATTTTTATATGTATAGTGCATTTACTTACTGTTAAGTATTTATACACTTATATTAGTTAAACAAAAAATATACCATCACAATAATGTATGTATTAATTGGTTTGCGCTAAACTAATTACTTTTGTCTACCGTTTAATAAATTCTTTGTACTAATTATTCATATAACAGTGTACAAAAATAATAAGCTTTAAACACTTGGTTTGATTTTTATTTGTATAAATATCTATATTCTAAAATGCATCTCGTTTAGGTTACGAACCTGATTTTTCTGCTAAAACAGGATTGGTTCACACTGCACTGGAGGTAAAAGCTACAAGTACATTGTGTTCTTTAGGCGGCTACCTGTCATATTCCTTTGTATGTATACCGTACTGTAACCGGCTCCTTTGATAAAAATGATAAAAAGAAACTCATGTTTTTCATACGCTATATTTTTTAGTAGTGGTAGTAGTACAAACCCATAAACCTCCTTTCTAAGGTGAGGTCTATGTCCGGCAGTAGACCATTAAAATCGGTTGATGATAATGATGTCTCGATTCGACAACCTTAACATTTAAATGCTCGTCATAATGCGTAGGAAGGTTACCCATCGCGAAGCACCAGAACAACTCAACTATTAACTTATAACAACCTAATGCTTTATGATGATACTGATGTAATAAAAACAGCCAACAGTGGTCATACCACCAGCGTCATTGTTGCTACTATATACTCAGTCAATATACTCAGAGGAATCCTTAGGGGAAAACCTACGGTCCAATTTAACTTACATCTAGTTAAGGATTCCTTCATACATACAGGCAACGTTTCAGTACTGACCTGCTCAGTGTCTACATGACAGTAAGATTTTAACCTAAACAATGACTTTCTATAATATATATGTTACAGCAATCAGCACGAAGCTTAAACTAACAGAATACAGTTGTTATTCGTAAAGTTTGATGTTTTAATAACTAGATGTTACACTATATTCACATTATTCATATTTTTAGACTTTCTTTTTATCTTACTATATTTTGACTTTATTATATAGTTTGTGTCTATCCCATTATCTGCACATAACACACTTATTAATGAGTTGTTTCGGTCATCTGTGGTCTTTATCACCAGTTCTACTTTACCTAAAAGACCTTAAACCCAACCCTTAAAATGCCTGAATTAATATAGGTATGCCTGTCATTTTTGAAGAGTTTTATCAATTTCTGCAGAATTATGAGATGAACTAGACAATGAATTAAATCCCCACGAAAGAAGGGGTGTTGGGGCATTTCGGTCCGCTCGTGTTTCGGCCCGCGGACCCAAACGCCTAAAAGCGCTTCCAAGATTGGTCTTTAATTTTTTTGTTTATTTATTGTTACAGCATAGGGTACACAGTTTAAGCAGTAAGATGCCGCATAAACTCATTCGAGTTTTTCCGTGCATCAGTGTCATCACTAAAACATATTTATACATACTTAAACAGTTAATTATTCTAAATTAATAAGACAACAAAATTACACACATCAGAACATCATCTATCACGAGTGTACTTACATATATCGAAGAAAATAAATAATTAATTTGAGTGGGTAGTCATTATAGGTTGTAGGTTCATTTAATTCCCACTGCGTAATACGTCACCGATTACACATTGCCGATCATTGCCGATCGGCGACCCGATCGCAACAGGTTTTATACAATAAGAATGCGATATACAAAGTGATGCATTACAAAAGGTAATCGATGTAATTTTAATAGTGTAATTATTAATGTCGTAACAAAACAAAGTTATAATTTTTTCGATATATTTTGCAAGAAGTATTGTTTTAGTTTACTTTTAAGATTTTTTGTAGTTAATTGTTTCTTAAGTGATACCTGTAATTCGTTAATCAGAAATAGAATGACATATGCTAATTTCTTTTACCGTAACTGTTAGTGTATTTAGGCAAAATTAACTCATTTTTTCAGGATTCTGCGTGTTTGAACCGTATTACTGTTATACTGTCTATTCTTTTTTAGTTGTTCGTTAAAAAAATCTTCATTTAGTAAAGTGTATTTAATTTTGTCATTTATTGGTAATATTTTACAGAATTCAAATAATGCATGGTAATTATTTTTAAACTTCTTTTTAATGTTATGCGGTACTTATATATCCTCATTTGAAGTGCGTAAATTGAGTCGAGATGGGTTTTGTAAGTTCTTCCGTAGCTTGACATACCATAACCGACCATCGATTCAACCAGCGCCGTATATAGTTGTAGCCGTCTCTGATAGGGTATTTTTCTCTTAATCAGCGCAAACTTAGCCAAAATACCTCTAAGTTTATCACATACCATGTTTATATGGCTTTTCCACGACATCCGACTATCTATTATCAGCCCAAGATATAATTGCTCATCCACTACGTCAATAGATCTACAGTTACATTTGTTAGGTATGCTTTAATTATGAAGAAAGAATCACACGAAATAATCACATAAATTGGTATTATAAGTTAGTTTTGCTACAACCAGGTACTAATAATCGGTCCGATGGATTTATATATAATAACAATTATTCCGTAATTAAAAAAAATGGAATCAAAGGTTAATAGTTTGACATTTCTCGCATATGCCTATCCCTTCGGGGAATCTTACGCCCAATATGTTCAACATATTAGACGGAATACTGGCGTCAAAATATATATAGACAGATAAATTTAACATTTCTAATAAATTAAAGTAAAGGAAACCTTTGAGGTTTGTACTAAGTCATATAAAAAAAAAAAACATTTTCATTTACAATCCGAACATTCAATAAGAACTGAGTTTAGATTCGGTCCACCGGACCAGTGAAAAAGAATATGACACACACACACAAATAAGTTTACACACACACACACACACACACATATATATATATATATATATATATATATGTGTGTGTGTGTGTAAATTTAAAATCTTAAAGCTTACTTTCTGAAGCTGAAGTTGAAAGTTTTCAAAATAGAATGTATAGACCTTGTCAAAAATAAATGAATATATTAATTATATTTGAAAAGTACCCTTCTCTTTCAACTGTTACTAATTATTATCACGACTATTTATCAGCACAAAGATATGATAACTGAAATGGATTTTTACACAGTATCATAATTTAGATAGCAGCATTTATCTAAAATACTGGAGTTAATACGTTCAATATTAGTTTTCGTAACAATTGACAGTGACACATACATAAGAAAAAGTGTTTAAAATGGCTATTCCTCCCCCAACCAACCAATCACCTTCTAAACCGAATGGATCCATAGAAGAAGACCGGCCTGTTTCTCATCAGCCACCAATACAATCACCATTTAAAATGTTGTGTTTAAGCTTGATTCATAACTTTACACAGCTGTGTCTTGGTGGTGTCGTAATAAGTGCATTAATCATACCACTTTCTATTCCTATTATTAGTGCGTTAATGCAACATACTGTTTTATGTACTGTTGGGGTGAGTACTTTTAAAGTTTATTTATGTTAATGATCATTTCTCAAATATAAATAACTCTTAATCCTATATTAATAATTTACTCGAGTATTTTTAATCAAAAACGTCCTTTAATGAAGTATTTAAAAGAAGTCTACGGTCTGGATTTCGCTGTCTGAGATGATCATTCAATTAGAATAGCTTTCATTGTATCTGGAAAGATTAGACTAACTTTTCGTGAGTAGTATTCATTTTCATTCAACCCTCTTCCCCCGTCAGCTCCAGAAGGCTCTTATCAGGGGTTACCCTATAAATTTCTATGCCCTTAAGATTGTCGAAATATGCGTTTTTTTGCGGTTTAATGGGCCGTATCTTTTTTCACGTCAATATAGAAGCTTGATTTTTCCACAGCTTCAAGGAACAGTAGACCTGAGAGTATATGGTTTTCATTTCAACTCCTCCTCCTCCTACTCAATACCTCCTCCTCGACCGACGGACAGACAGACGGACAACAAAGTGATCCTATAAGGGTTTCGTTTTTTTTTGTCTTATCTGGGACTAAACCCTAAAAAATATTTTAGTATTTTTTTAAATGGTTATTACTAACATCATGTAACACTAAAGAATAACTTTAAGTAGTTTAGTTTCTAAATGTGGACATCAAGAAGCCAGTGTAATTTGCTAAAAATATTTTAGTAATTTTTATTCTTTTCTGCTTATTTTAAGTACTTTTATTTAAGTTTTAACTGATCAATCTTTTTTTATATAAAATTTAACGACTAAGACTTAAATAACTCTTATGCTTACTTATGTGTTAATCAAATGTATTAAAAATAAACCTGCAAATCATTATCTTTACCCTTTTCAGTATTTCATTTTAATGGCACAAGGGATCTTAGCATACAGTCCTGTCGGCTGGGCGAACTACTTGACAAACGATAATAATAAAATCATACACAGCACAATGCAAATATGTGGCTCCATATTGGCAATCTCTGGTAGTGCTGTAATAATAGCTCATACAAACTTAAGACTCAACACTTCCCATGGAATATGTGGTAAGTTAATGATTATAACTAAAGACGTGTTTAAAGTGTAAGCACACTAATTTACTTATAAACGTTTTTTAACATGCATACTGAATTCTTTGTACTCTTTTTAAGCAACTTTAGTCAGCGACAAGATTATGTGAAATTTAATCTTTTACTTTATATGTCTTAATGTATTATTAGAATTTTTTATGTAGTAATAGGTTTTAAGCTGTGCCATTCAGTATTTTTTAATTAAATTTTCTAACAAATTTAATTCAAAATACTGAACTTCACTAAAAAAACAAAAATTAGGCATGTAGATTTTTTTGTTAACATATCGACGAACAAATTTTTACGTGTTTCTATATTTTTTTTGTTAGTGTGTTCTACCTTTCTTTATTTAAAAAAAAATATTATTTGAAATAAAATGTTACTTTCCAATATTTTCCTTTCCAGTAATAAAAACTTTGATTATCATTCCAGGTCTGGTCGCGACGCTACTCACTGCAATTAATCTACTAGCTGGGATATTTAATATGTTCTTTAATCGAACAAGAAAACTCAGACTGCTGAGGTGTTTACATATGTGTCTCGGAGCCCTAACAATTTTCATGGCTTTTATCGCTTTAATATTAGCCTTTGACTTGTATTATAGAAATGTAAATGGGGATACCATTGCAAACTTAGCTATAGCATTTTCAGTTTTTGCTTTATTTGGAATATTACTAATTGCCTTGCTTAATAAAAGGGTCGGGCAACCATAGGCTAAAACTGATTATGAGCTAGACTTTCGTCTTTGTCACCTCACACAAACGTTAAGGACGTTTGTGTGAGGTGACGAAGGCGAAAGTAGTAACAATACCTCAAAATGTTGTACTTAAGAGATTAAAAACTTCCTTTCCAATTACGGTATGGCGTAACCTCTTAATGTTTTCAGATTTCATTTATCAACTAACAGTTTTGTAAATCGTAAAACTGTATACACAGCATTAAGGTCTACAGATAAGAAAGAAAGCCTCATATAATTATATATTAATTCCTGCTTAAATCATTTCGTTATGGTTTCGTATTCATTTCGGTATGGAGAGGCAGATCATCTCCCTATGCGTTATTTTTTATGACACTAACGCTTCCTATAAACGCATCATTAGGATACCTTAAATTTGATATCTACGTAACATACAATAAATAATAAAAAATGTATGTATAAATTTTATATTTTGTAACAACACCAATTCAATTCAATACGTTTAATATGATATGATTCATGGTCTCAGGGAACCTGAAAAATCAAAAATAAAATTACCTGCCTTATCATAAAATTATTTCCCTATTCCTCAGATCACATTAAATAACAATATTTTGTTCGGACATGTGACAAACGACGTATTAACGACGTATTCGTGTTAACTGATTACACCGATTCTATTATCAAAGAGTCGCTGCTGTGTTAAGATTTGAATTGTATAAATAGATAATTATTTTTATATGTAACTATAGAAGTTTTACTTACTTTCTGATAAGTATTTATAGACTTATAAACATAAAATATACTATCACAATAATGAATGTATTAGTTAGTTTACGCTAAACTAATTACTTTTGTCTACCGTTTAATAAATTCTTTGTAATAATTATTCATATAACAGTATACAAAAATAATAAGCTTTAAACACTTGGTTTGATTTTTATTTGTATAAATATCTATAACCTAAAATGCATCTCGTTTAGGTTACGAACCTGGTTTTTCTTCTAAAACAGGACTCGTTCACACCACACCGCACTGCAGGTAAAAGCTACAAGTACATTGTGTTCTTTAGTCGTCTACTTGTCAAAGGGATAATGTATCGTAACCGGCTCCTTTAATAAAAAGGATAAAAATGAACTTATGTTTTTCATACTTTTAAAGGAAGTAAAAGATAAACAAAATACGACCTGTATTTTGTTTATCTTTTACTTGAAGGTCAATAAATAATAATTTACCTCTTACCCAACCTCCTTTCTAAGGACGCTGAGGTCTATGTCCAGCAGTAGACCATTAAAATCGGTTGCTGATAATGATGTCTCGATTCGACAACCTTAACATTTATATGCTCGTCATAATGCGTAGGTAGGTTATGTCCGTATTTATCCCATTTTAACGGAAACTCACCCATTATTTGGTAGATGAGAAAATAATTTTGTAAGACAAATTCTAAAATTTGTAGTAAGAAATATCCAAAGTTATATCAATGTAAAAGTGCCTCCTCAATCCATACGGACATGGTAGGTTACCTATCGCGAAGTACTAGAACAACTCCTCAACAATTACTTAGATCGACCTAATGCTTTATGATGATACCGATGTGATCCAAAGCAGCCAACAGTGGTCTATCAGTGGTCTATCTACTATTACTATTACCTATTACTATTCCGTATTACTATTACCTATTACTATTACCTATTACTATTACCTATTACTATTACCTATTACTATTACCTATTACTATTACCTATTACTATTACCTATTACCTATTACTATTACCTATTACTATTACCTATTACTATTACCTATTACTATTACCTATTACTATTACCCATTACTATTACCTATTACTATTACCTATTACTATTACCTATTACTATTACCTATTACTATTACCTATTACTATTACCTATTACTATTACCTATTACTAATACCTATCTCAGGTTAAGGATAGATCGCTATCTCCGATTTGCAGCAATATCTTATCTATCCTTAACTTGCGTTTAACAATCGAGGATAAGTGCTATTTATCTGTTGCTAGCTAGCTTTTTCCCTCTTGAAGCGTTTAGTGCTTTGCTACACAAATGTTTAATGTTAAAAACAAATATTAACTATTTATTTATTTTATTAAAAGTACTTATTGTGTATTTTATTTTATAGTGAATCAACATTAACTAGAATTTTTTTATTTGTTTACCACATTCAATCATGAAATAAAACGTTTTGACATATCGAATTGAATTAAACACATTGGACTTCACGTTTTGTTCGTGCGCGTATTTTGTGTTAAATTTTATAAAAGTAATTCAAAATGAATCCTGTAACTATCTACATTGATGATAATTTTTACATTCCATCCATTCAATCTCTAAAAGATTTATTTTTAAATACGTAGTAATTTAATTTAGTCATATAATTCACACGTGATTTATATTTCTTCTATAAAGATATGTTATCATCAATATCACTGTCACTGATTTCATCGTAATCCATTATAATTTCAAATAATTCTATGTCGCTATCTTTACTGCTAAAACCTTTCATTATTTTATATTTATTATGAAGTTATTTCGAATTTCGAAATTCTATCTGCCCGCGTAACTGGCCGATGTTGACAGATAAAAAAATGACGTTACTATATCAATTGTTTCTATGTATAATATGTATGTATTTACAAAAAAAAAAGTATATATATATATTTATATCAGTTGTCTAGTACCCATAGTACAAGCTCTGCTTAGTTTGGGACTAGATGGCGTTGTGTGTATGTAGTAGAATATTATTATTATTATTATATTTAGCTACGCCTATCGGAGACTACATCGAAACTTATATTGAAATACAAGTTAGTCCGATTACTATGTAAGTTCCTATCTCCTATCCGACTATCCGTCCTCCCAAAGGTAAATAGACAACTTCGATAGGAAATGCTATCTGCCGGTAGGTAACGGAAACGTAAGTAAAAGTAAAAAGATAGATTTGTTTAGATTTGTTTAACTATAGTAATAAGAACTAAGGATAGATAGGTTATTGAAAACGGCCGTACCAGTAATACTGTATATAAAAGAAAAAGATTGAATTTAAATATTGCTTTTCGAAAAGAAAATCATCCAAGTTTAAAATCTACCGTGTTATTTTCGGAAGCTGAAGTTGAAAGGTTTCGAGATAGGATGTTTTGTTTAATTCGATACGAACAGGTATTTTAATAAAATTAAATAAAAGTTACCTTACATGGAAGATAACTTTTAAAAAATAAATGAAAGATTGATTTCTTTTAGACAAGTACCCTTCTTTTTCAACCGTTACTGATTATTATCACGACTATTTATCAGCACAAAGATATGGCATCTCAAATTTATTTTTCACACAGTATCTTAATGCAGATAGCAGAATTTATCTATAGATGCTGGAGCCAATACATTCAATATTTGTTTTTGTAACAATTTGAAGTGACGCGACGAAACAATTTGAAGTGACGTGAAGATACATAAAAAAAGTATTTAAAATGCCTATTCCTCCACCACCACCTCTTCCTCCCCCAGTTTATTACCCTCAAACAACAACAACCAACCAATCATCTTCTAACGCGAATGGCTCCATAGAAGAAGGCCTTCCTGTTTCTCGTCAGCCACCAATACGATCGCCATTGGAAATGTTATATTTAAGCCTAATTCATAACTTTACACAGCTATGTCTTGGTGGTGTCGTAATAAGTGCATTAATCATACCACTTTCTTTTCCCATTAGTGTGTTAATGCAACATACTGTTTTATGTACTGTTGGGGTGAGTACTTTTAAAGTTTATTTATGTTAATGACCATTTCTCAAATATAATAACTCTTAATCCTATATTCATAATTTCCTCGTGTATGTTTAATCAAAAACGTCCTTTAATGAAGATGAGATGATCATTCAATTAGAATAGCTTTCATTGTATCTAAAAAGATTAGACAAACTTTTCGTGAGTAGTATTCATTTTCATCCAACCCTCTTCCTCCGTCAGCTCCAGAAGGCTCTTATCAGGTTCGAAACTAGTCGGATATCCCCGAAGTACCACACGTGAGTAAAATGGTATATCTTTAATAAACATCTGATAAGATCAAAGGACGTATGATTTTTATCACTGAATACTGTGTTGTACTGATCTAGCTTATAAGCTGATTCTCTGAGGCATGACATTATTCATGGTTTAAAATTTTAGGTAACAAGTTTTAACCTACTGTGTGTGTTACCATATTTTAACACGTTTTCCGTAGCTAGCTACCACTATTATCTAAAGTATAATTTGTATATCAGATGAACAGTATGACAAATTCACAATGAGAGAAAATCCTATGAATTTCAAGTCAGACTAGCCTACCGAGGGTTCCGTACAAATTTGTAGGTAGTTCAGGAATCGTGTGTTGCAGTTTTTCCTGAACTTTTCCCGAAATTCAGTTTCCAAAAGCTAAAATTACTTGTTTTATTGTGTTTTATAAGTGAAATCGTACCTCGATGATTGATTACTTACTTTAAATAAAGATTATATTTTTTATGATTTAATTACAAATGTATAGTTTTCAGATATTCCCCGCTACTTGTAGTATTAATTATGCTAATTGCCGAATTTCATAGTTTTAGGTCAACGGGAAGTACCTTATCAGTTTTGATTCCCCTGATATATTCCCGTATTGACCTACTCCCCATTGTAACACCATATGTCGCAACATTTTAGCAAATAAATGTGTTTCTGATTTTGATTCTAGCGTCGAAATATGCGTTTTTTTTATAAACGTATAAACAGCCGTATCTTTTTTTTTACCTTAACTTAGAACTTTGTTTTTTTACAGCTTGAAGGAATTGTAGACTAGTATATGATTTTAATTTCAACCCAATGTCTCCACGCGTTCCCGAGATAAAGGGTCTTGACAGACCGACGGACAGACAGACGAACAACAAAGTGATCCTATATGGTTTCAGTTTTTTTAAGTGGTTATTACTAATATCATGTGACACTAAAGGATAACTTTAAGTAGTTTGGTTTGTAAATATGAACATAGGGAAACCAATGTAATATACTAAAAATATTTTTAGTTACGTTTCTCCTTTTTGGCTTATATTAACTAGAAATTTTTAAATTTTAACTGATCAATCAATTTTTATAAAAAAAATAACAAGTAAGATTTAAATAACATTTATGCTTAATAATTTGTTAGTCAAAGGTAGTAAATATGCACCTGTAATCAATCATTATTTTGACCATTCCAAAAACATTCTTTCAGTATTTCATCATAATGGCACAAGGGATCTTAGCGTACAGTCCTGTCGGCTGGGCAAACCACTTGAAATACGACAGTAAAAAAATCATTCATAGCACAATGCAAATATGTGGTTCCATATTGGCAATCTCTGGTAGTGCTGTAATAATAGCTGAAACAAACTTAACATTCACAACTTCCCACGGAATATGTGGTAAGTTAATATTTATAACTAAAGTGATTAAAGTGTAAACACTAATTTACTTATACACGTTTATTAATATTCGTAGTGAATTCTTTGTACCTACTATTTTAAGCAATTTTAGTCAGTGACGAGGTTATGTGAAATTTTAATCTATTCACGTTTGTATCTATATACAAATGAACAAAGCTCAGAAGGCTAAAGGATTTTTAATCAAAATTAATTTAATTGAACAAATGTTGTGAAAACGGATAAAAATTAAGCCACTTTTTGTACCTCCAAGACTTGTAAAACTTACACTCGTAACTCATTCTTATACCGTTCCACTAACAATTATAACAGAGACTTCACAGATATAGATCTTTTCGATAACTCTCTCAATAGTTCAAAATTAAAATTGAAACGTAGATTTAATATAACTTGAGTTCTCATATATAACATACTCGCTGACCCTGCAAACGTTGTTTTGCTATTTACATTATTTAAATATATAATTTTTTTTAATTTCTTAAAATCCGTTCTTAGCTGACCTCTACTCGGTGAAAAGAATATTCCTACCAAATTTCAAGTCTTTAGCTCTAATGGTTCCAGAGATATCGTGTTGAGTGACTGTATACGTGGAAATCTCTTATATATATATGGATTATTTATACAATTTCTATACTTGTTAACATTTAATAAATTGATGTAACCTAAAATATTATGTATCCCTTCAGTTTTCATTACGTAAAGCTTGTTATACGTGTCCCTCCAAATTAAGGGTTAAAATTTTATTGTTACTGAAATCATCTGTTCGACACTATAGGTTTATTATAAAGAGCCACATATTTATAAGTGTTTTAACTGTATAGAACTGTTTGTTGCCAAAATATAGGAAAAAAAAAGATAGATAGATAGATAGATAACTCTTTATTTGCACACTAAATTACAGAGTTTCAAGAAAGGAACACAACGATCAAATATCGAGTGTACAAAGGGCAGCCTTATTGCTAAATGCAATTTCTTCCAGGCAACCTTAGGATGGATCACAAGTTGCAGAGAGACAGTAGTAGTTGAATTGTTGTGAACCTACTATTTTTTTACTATTATCTACCATACATATTACATATACTACACATATCATATTATCTACAAACATTTACAATTTTTTATACTTACATCTACAATGCTTATCACAATAAATAAACCTACATATATATAAGTACCCACATACTATACCAGCAGATATACATATACACATACATATATATATACGCATTCTTAAATGAATAAACATATAGAAAAGAGAAACAGTTTCGTTACACTCTCAAGCGTGATGGACTCTTAAGGTGAATAAAATTCCTGTACCATTTTCTTGAATCTATTTAATGTTTGCGCCTGCCTGATGTTAAGCGGCAGTGCATTCCACAAGCGCACAGCTTCAACAGTGAAGGATTGGTCATAAAATTTGGTGGAATGCAGTGGCATCTCCAGTTGTAAACTTACGGATGACCGCAGACATTTTTCGTGTGTTTCGCGTGAATCGTTCTTTGAGGTAGAAAGGGGTTTTGGGATTAAACAAAATGTTGTAAAGGAAAATAAGGATATGAGTATTCCGGCGAGAGCGAATTGGAAGCCACTTGAGCATTTGACGGAATTCAGAGACGTGATCGTATTTTCGTAAACCAAATACGAATCGTATACACATATTTTGTAGTCGCTCAAGCTTATCGAGTTGTGCTTCAGTGAGATTCAGATAGCTGACATCTTCATAGTCGAGAATTGGGAGGAAAAGTGCTTGTGCAAGCGCAACCCTAGTTGCAGTTGGAAGGAATTTGCGTAGTCTTCGAAGAGAACCGGCTGAAGCAAATATCCTACGACTGACCTCTTGCATCTGTGGACCCCATGACAAAGTGTTGTCTATGTAGATCCCTAAATTTTTTACAGTAGTGCTTATCTCAAGAGTTGTGCCACCGAACTGAATTTGGGGCAGTAGAGTCCAGTTAACTTTTGAGATCAGCCTGGGGTTGCCGATAACACACACCTGTGTCTTCTTAGGATTAATCATAAGTCCATAGTTATAACTCCACTCGCCAATGCGTTGAAGGTCAGCGTTAATTATGTTGAATGCATCCGATAACATGTTAATCGGAGCTTGTGTATATATTTGCAAATCATCTGCATAAAGGTGGTAGAAGGAACTTAGTTGATTAGAGATTGAGTTTATAAAAACAGCGAAGATTAAAGGAGATAGAACGCCACCCTGCGGTACACCAGCAGAAATACTGCACCAAGAGGACATGGAGTCATCAATGCAAATCCGTTGCCGGCGACCAGACAGGTAACTATGAAACCAATCAATTGTCCTTGGAGATATGTTAAGAGACCGTAGTATGCCAAGCAGAAAGTGAAAATCCACAGTATTGAAGGCATTGCTAAAATCAAGTAAGGTGAGAACTGTGATCTTTCCACTATCCATGCCTAGTCTGATGCTGTCTGTAATGTGTACCAGCGCAGAAGTAGTGCTATGGCCAGGGCGAAATCCGGATTGGAAGGGGTTCAGTAGAGAATTTTTGGAGAGGAAGTTAGTCAGTTGAGAGTGGATGAGGCGTTCAAGTACTTTGGATAGGAAAGGTAAAATAGATATGGGCCGATAGTCAGAAAATGAAGAGGGTTTAGTTTTTTTTGGAAGAGGGATTACTTGGGCATCTTTCCATGCAGATGGAAAAACAGCGCTTGTGACGGAGTGATTAAGGATATTGCATAGGATAAGCAGAATTTCGTCAAGGATAGGTATAATCATATTTCGGCTGATGCAGTCACTTCCCACTGCGTTGGATGAGACCGCCAGAATGGTCTTCCTAACATCACAAGCGGAGTAAGAATTACAGAGGTACTGACGTTGACTTATGTTTATAATTAGCAGGCTAAGTTATACTGGCCCCTGCGCCGGACAGGCCTGTTGACGTTGATGCTGAGGCACAGTGGTGCGTGACGTTGCGTGCGTTACTGGTCCAGGTTCCGCCTTCTTGAATAGTGTCGCCGTCACGTGCTACGCGGACGACACACTCGTGACGGCGTGCGGCAAGACGAACCGTGAGGCAACCCTGAGGGCCACGGCCGGGGTTGCCCAAGACGTGGAGAGGATCCGGCGGCTAGGTCTCGAGGCCTTGTTCTTTCATGGGCCACTTGAGGGATCCAGCCTCATTGTAGAAGGCACTCGCATCGGCATCGAGCCCTCGATGAGGTATCTAGGGTTCGTACTCGATGGCCAATGGATGGGACATCATTTCCGAGGTCTGGTCCCCAAGTTGGCTGGAGCAGCGCGTACATTGGTGCCGCTGCTGCCCAACCTGAGGGGACCCGATGACCCCTGCAGGAGACTCTACTCGGGGGTTGTGCCGTCCATGGCCCTTTATGGGGTCCCAGTATGGGCGAGGGCCCTGAAGGCCAGCAACGTCGCACTACTGCGACGACCGCAGCGAGGCTGGCCATCAGGGTCATAAGGGAGTACCGCACGATCTCCTTTGAAGCGGCGAGTCTCCTGTCCGGAACTCCACCGTGAGACCTGGAGGCGAGAGTGCTTGCGGCTCTGTATCAGTGGCGCAAGGAGGCGCAGGATTTGGGTCGAATTCCTAAGACTGTAGTAATAGATTTTAGGCTGTGCCATTCAGTATTTTTTAATTAAAGTTTTTAACTTTTAACACTACTTTTAACACAAATTCAAAATACAGAATTTCAGAATTACACTCAAATAAAATTTAATTACCTATGTAGATTTTCTTTATTAACAAATTGACTTGAACAAATTTTAACGTGTTTTTAAGAATTTTTAAATTTATAGTCTTTATATGCAAACAGTGCTTACAAAAAATTCTTCAATGTTATTGTCTTATTTAAAGGAGTTATTCTTTTAAATAAAGTGTTACGTTCCAATATAGTAATAAAAAAACTTTGTTTTTAATTCCAGGTCTGGTCGCGACGATACTCACTGTAATTAATCTACTAGCTGGGATATTTAATATGTTCTTTAATCGAACAAGAAAACTCATACTGCTGAAGATTTTACATATTTGTCTCGGAGCCCTAACGATCTCTGTGGCTTTTATCGCTCTAATATTAGCCTTCGACTTGTATTATAGAGAGGAAAATGGGGATATCAATGCAAATTTAGCTATAGCACTTTCAGTTTTTGCTTTATTTGGAATATTACTCTTGGCCTTGCTCAATAATAGGGCCGGGCAACCATAGATAGGTAACCATAGATACATACCATTAAATGCAAATACGTAGTAATAATATGAAAGTCAATAATGCTCACAAATAAATATATAAATAAGTTTATTTAAAAATATGGATACTGAATTCATCAAACTTTTTTTAATAATAATAAATAAACTAACAGTTTTGTAAATCGTACACAGCATCAAGGTCTACAGATAAGAAAGAAAGCCTCTTCGAATGATATATTAATATCTGCTTAAATCATCTGCTTATGGCCTTGAGAAGTCAGTTCATCTCCCGATGCGAATTAATTATTTTTATGGCACTAATGCTACCTATGAACGCAATATGAGAATACCTTAAAAGGCCAAATACATGTATTTTACGAATACATTTCATTTGTCCTGAATGGTGTACCTTAATATTATTTCATTACAACTACTATTGCCAATAGTAGATTGAATAATGGCTTTAATTTTAACATAACAACTATAATAATTTGCAATTTGCCTAATGAAATGTAACTGCATGAATGCAGATGTTTACTGGCCAACCACACCACTCCCACTCACAATATTATTAACAATGGTCAAGTCACGCACAAGACTTACAAGATTACATTAGACCATGAATCACTCAAAGAATTCCAACTCCGAGCATAAGACGTGGTGGAAACTAATTTTGTTTTTTTTATTATTAGCACATCCTTCAATTTTATTAGTATATTAAGTCTTTTTAGTGCATAATATTTACTAGAAGTTAAGGATGTCTTACGTTGAGACGACAAGTTTATTGTAGATATTAGTTAGGTTATATATATGACTATGTAATTTTTTATATATTACAATAAGTGTTTACTGGTATATTCTACTAACCAGTAATATTACTAAGTGCAATAAAACGATTAAAAAAAATACTTTATTAACCTACCTGCACTGGTGAACTCGGTGCGTTGATGTTTTGTTTGCTGAATTACGTGATTATATATTTTCTTCGCGAACCGGTTTTGTTTAGGTAAAACAAATATAGAGTGCTCTTTATATACCGATGAATATCATCATCATCATGATCAGCCTATCGCTGTCCCCTGCTGGACATAGGCCTATCTCATTGCACGCCACTTAGATTGGGCTTCTCGCATTCAGGTCCTGCCAGCCATCTTGCGCAAACCGTCACTCCACCTGGCCTGTGGGTGTCCTACACTACGTTTGTCGAAACGCGGCCTCCACTCAAGAACTCATTTTCCCCAACAGTTGTCGATTCTGCGGCTAATATGGCCAGCTCTCTGCCACTTCAGCTTGCGAATCTGGTAGGCTATGTCGGTGACCTTGGTTCTCTTGCGATCCCTTAGAGAAACGCCGAGCATAGCCCTTTCCATAGCACGTTGAGATAATGACAAAACTTGGATAAAACCAAGGTCATGTTCAATGAACATGTACTACCGGAACCGATTGCGGTACACGGTGCCGTTCTCAAAGTTGTTCAAAATTATGTGTACCTCGGGCAGACAGAGGAGTTAGGTAAAAAAAAACTCCGAGGACGAGGTGAACAGAAGAATTGGGTTGGGTTGGGTAGCATTTGGGAAGATACGTCGAGTCTTCTCATCGTCGATCCTACAGTGCCTTAAGACTGAAGAAGTCTTCAATGATTACATCTAGTACTTACTGTGACCCTTTAAAATAAAAAAAAATAAAAATCAGTTTAAGGTTAAAATAAAACTGCAATATGAATCAAAGTAATTTATTTTATAACTAACTATTTACAATGACTTATCAGTTATAACATAACATAACTTAAGCTGAATTACTATGAACACTACTAATTCAATGAATCAATACTACTTATTTTAATAGTGTTCGCAATCATACTAAGTGCTACTTTGAGTCATGAATTTACTTGTTATATAAATTATTTCGTACGAAAATATACTTACCGTAAATATCACACCGATTAAGCAAAATATAAAATATTTTAAACCTTACTGCAAATTTATAATTTTTATTAAATTCGCACCAACATTGGTCACAATAATAAGATTCTTATTGTTAAGCAATGAAACATCCATAATCATTTGAATTAAGTTCCAAATTAGAGAGCTATATTTGAACCTAATCAGTTCCTCCAATTATTATTAAAGTAATAACTTGGCAGTGCAAAATGAGGCTGTTGTAAAATGTTAGCAGCAGTACACACATCATGTACCGTAGGTCTAACGGCTAGAGCAGGAGTAGCAACAATTTTGTACATAGTATTTATAGTGACAGAGTCGAGCTTGTACGGCTAGAAGACAGTTGTCCAACTTATCTTTGCAATCTAAACAAACAGAAATTCTATTAGAGTTGTTTATTAAATTAAATTAAATTTAAATATTGAGATGTTATGAGGTGTATACCTTTCGATAGATGATTAATTGTTGTACTTCTTTGAGTTGTAGGTGTCTCATCAGCCAGAGCTTTGTGAGATTCTGGAAATTTTTAAGATAGTTAATGTGTTTTTAGGCTAATTTAAACATCAAGCATTCCGTCCACCGCTTACTGAACTAATTTAGTAACTCACATAGTTTAGCCACTTTTTCAGAAACTTGATCGAGTTTTTCATTCTTCTTATTTTTTTATTCCGATTCGGATCGACCTACACAAGTAAGTAAAACTAATGGTGTCACAAATAGCAACTTAGTTGAGTAGGCCGATATCCCCTCTCACCCCCTTACGATACTCAAAAGAGTAGTAACATCATACTAAGATTACACTTCCGTGTAACAGATAATCACTAACGTACTTTTAGCTTAAATTTCTTTTTTATTTCGTAGTTTAGCTTAATTTAGTTCACTGAACATAACTCTTAATTAGTTTAGCTGGCGGCAAACATTATACGTTTCTATAGTCACTGTCAATTAACAACAACAGAATAATTATCGAGACATTTTCTTGTTTAATAATATAAATATTATTCGTCAAACTTCACCAATGACTATGAAGGGCAAATACTATTTTTAGCGACTTCAAAAAAAGAAGAAGGAATTCAGCTGTTTTTAATGTTACCTCAGAACCGTGTTATTTATGAACCGATCTGGAATTTGTTTTTGAATAAACTCTCCATTTCACCCCATTAAAATATTAAGAATAAATTCTACCCCTGAGGATGAAAATTAAGAAATTAACAATACAGCTTATAACAATTAATTGTGATGTAGTAGGTTTTTTTAAACGTTAATAATTAACAATGTTTTCATTGACACACACATTAATGATAATATTATTAACAAATACCTTTTACATGATATTCAGAAGATTGAATACTTAGTGTTCAATTAAAATGGCAAAAGAAATTTTAATTATTTAATTAAATTTAAATCTAAACTAATATTATAAAGCTGAAGAGTTTGTTTGTTTGTTTGTTTGTTTGAACGCGCTAATCTCAGGAACTACTGGTCCGATTTGAAAAATTCTTTCAGTGTTAGCCCATTTATCGAGGAAGGCTATAGGCTATATATCATCACGCTAAGACCAATAGGAGCGGAGCACCAATGAAGAATGTTTCAAAAACGGAGAAAATTTATTACTATTGAGAGACGCAGACGAAGTTGCGCGGGTCAGCTAGTGTACAATATGACACAGTCCTACAGTATTATACAGCGGAGTACATACCGATAGTTAAAGCAGGTGATGATGTTGTAACAACAATGGTGTCACAAATAGCATCACAGCTACGTTTAGCAGGTGGTATTGGAGAACCCAAACATTCGCCACTTGGTTTAGCATCATCAGCAAGAGCGCATGCCACAGATCGTTGTTGGAATCCAGAAGTTAGGTTTGGTGTGCAGTTGCTTATACACTGTAGATCATCAAAAAAGTATTCAGAATAGATTCAGTCATTATTATTGCGACTTATAAATTAAATTTAGGAACCTTTGAATTATTAATTGTAGAACATTCTCTACACAAGACTACGTTAGATATTTTTGTGAAGATGTGTCATAATTAAGTAAAAAAATATTTTTTTTGTTATCATATTACTTAAAAAAAACATAAACTATATTTATTTCTATCTACGTCTTCATTGTCAAATCCATTACTAAGGCATACTGGTTACTATTTTTGATAAGAGACGGAGAGGGTTTGTTTTAGTGTAGGTGGATGGGACTTCGGTTCTAAATCTCTAGTAGTCTTCAGAGGCTTTCTTTATCGTCACATTACACAACACAACAGTATTAAACCCTAGTATCCATGTATACTACTCCTAACTATCCTAAGATGGTAAATTCGTATGTTCGCAGGCTGACTATTAATTGGCTGGCTCAAAAGTGGCCAATTCCTATTTAGTAGAATATAACTCGGAAGCAGCAACGTCTTCTCTTAAAAAAAAATAGATACGAGTATATATTCCACCGCTTCTATTACGCTAAGGTAAGAAAAATCATGACCTAATTATAACAAAGTATTATTAACAATTGCAATTAAGACCATAAAACGCAAACATGATCCTTTGGAAGAATTGAAAAGGTCATTGTAATAAATAAAAACCCAGAAGTGTCCTTACTAATATCGTTAGTGTCCGCAATAATTAGAATATCAATCACAAGCACCCTTCATGTTCTATTAGTCAAGTAAGGTGTCCTTTTACATGTTATTTATATTGCTCAATCAATTTTGCAAGGTCTAGTGAATAATGTTTCTAATCTACAATTGATATGTTGGCACTTGCAAACCATTAGTTTTTAGTTTTATCACTCTCGTCTATTTGTGTACAAAATTAATAATGTCTATCTTATTTGAAGCCAGCTGCAGATTTTTATCTTACGTAAAAAGCATCTAATTTCATTAACTAACCTGTCCCCAATCACTAGAGTACCATGTGGGACGACAAGCAGCTTGACAATCTTTAATATGTGAAGGTTTCGGCGATTTACATGCAGAATCCTTCAAATGTCGTCCAGATCCACCGATGCAAAGAACTCCACGGACTTGTTTACCATTGCAACCGGAGCATGAAGACCATTCACCTGCAAATATATCCATTAGTTAAAAGGCATTCCATGCGGTGGCCTCAGCATGCAGTAATTATTCTAATACGTTATAAAATAACAAAAATTATCATGCATTAAAAATAGCTTATAATATGAGGTAACAAAAAAGAGCATAACGTAAAAAGTCACAATATTGTTATTTAATTCTTTGAATTCTGAAGAAAACTATTGCAGTATTTTAATAAATTTACAAGAACACAGTTGTGCCCTGGATTTGCGAATATAAACCAAGCTTGCCAATTATTATAGTAACTAAAATATTACCCGTAAACCATGTTCCTTCGGTGGGTTCACATGAAGCATTAGGAATGCAGCTGCGAAATGTATCAGGCGCTTTCCGCGGCGTGCATCCCGATGGGTCAGCACAGCGTACACCTCGTGTTTGTATACCACCACCTACACACCATCCTATACACTATCAAACAAAATTTATACATTATGATTTGCAAAAAAAATAATATCGTGATAAAATTTTATCTCTGGAAATCTATCAGGACTTGTACACACAAAAAATATTTGTTGTTTAATAGTTGTTAGTCTGAAGAAAAGTTTACATAAACCCCACTTACGCCAGCATCCTATAAGAGTTAAATACCTACTGCTTGCCAATAATGTCGTTTCACTCATGTAGTAAGGGGTCGGTCTATTGCTGCTTACCGGGCACTTTGATAATTGTCTTAAAAAGGTTCGGAAATTGACCTGAAAAGGTTGACTAAAGTCCCATTGGGAACATGTAGAAAAGAAGGAAAGAAATTCGCTTACACGGATGGATTGTGAAAGGTTAGCAATAGATCTAGTAGAGCATGACTAGGATCTTGAATTTGTTAGATGATGAAAAAAAAATATCGTTCTGTACTTTGTCTGGTAAAAGCACCTCACAAAAGTATCAGTTCAATAGGTTAGGTTGAAATTAAAATCACTTAGTCTGATCATTTGTACGGAGAATTGCTGATGTAATTAGCTGTATGCTTTTAGATGAGCATAATGAATCTATTAATAAAAGGTCGTTGGTGTGTAGTGTGAAATGCGCGTTATACTTACTCATTCATTTGAATTCAGGCGTGATGTAATTGTATCTGTTTTCAATTTATTCGAATTTGATACTAGATCATTATATCTGTCAGAAAAAAATAATACGCAAACGCAAGATCAGAAATGGATCAATATATTGCATTAAGCATCTATTATTCGTGAAATATTGCTTTATAATAGATTTATACAAGATGAATAAGACAGATATAAGTCATACTCATTTGTCATATTAATGTTAACATACAATATTTCAGTAATAACTATAATTTACGAGTAAAATTTATAATATCATTAGAATAAGCAAATCTGACGTGCTCTTATCTTTTCAATAAATCAGATACCGCCTCCAAACGTTTGGACATAACACAATGCATTGTAGCAATATTTTCATAATACGAGTTTGTTCTTGTTTAACAGTGACAGCACTTAGTCTCACAAAAATACAAGATCATAAAAATATTAGATTATATTATTATTGTTGTAAAATAATATAATAAATAAATAAATAAAAGAAAATAAATCTAAATTTTAACCACGAATACAATAGTTTCAATTCGAAAATGCTAGAAATACTGCTATTAATGCTATATACTCATACTTGATATTTAGTTTTAAATCAGACGATTTATGTAAATATTATGTCGGTTAATGAAATATGTTTTACTTTTTTAAATAAGCTTCTAGTTAACGTGCTCTATTTGTTAGTTTGGGTCAAATCTTGAAATACGAAACCACTTAGTTTTAACGTACGGAGTTGAAGTTTATATGTTGGTTCAAATGATAATGCATTTTATGATATAAATTATGAAAGATTGTTATGAAAGTTAATTAGAAACTCCTAAACGGTAAACCGCTCAGGTAAGAAATTTTATAGTAGCATTCAATTATGATGAACGTACAAATAACAAAATGGTTAAAAAGACACCCGGCCACTGTGATGTGCTGAATGTTCTGGATTTTCACACGATACTAATATTCCTGTGATCCCCAAATAATAGCTCCTAGTTCGGATCTTCTTTCTTTTCCCTGTTTGAAATTTATAAGCTTTTCTATATTCTTTTTCCTTATTAATTTTGTAAATCTCTCCACCTTTTTTTTATTGACGGGGTCGAAAATCCCTTACGATCTCCGGCTCCTTGCCAGCCTTGCCAGAGCCAGCTTGGGATATAGGAGCCAGAAATCTCTCCAAAATTGCGTTGTCGCTCTTCGAGTCCTAGGCTCAGAATTAGAGGAAGCAGGAGGGCTCCGGTAGCCTCACTCTCTTGGTGAGAAGCAAAAAAAAAATCGCTTAGCATCGGTATCACTTCGGTCACCAAAGCATGGCTGTCCTGCGTACAGAGGGCCAAGTGCGAGTTTATTTCACTTCTACTCGATTGTCACTGTGACCGCGTTCGGCGTTGCGAAATCTCCAAAAATCCCAACTCTAAACGCGCTCGCCGTCGAGAGCAAGTCGATTTGAAATAAACTTGCACTCGGCCCTCAATTAACGTTATAACTTTACTTTACTTATTTAGACATGTAAAATTAATATTTCTTGTTCGATGTTATTTAGCTTACCTCGGACCACTCTGTATATAGCCATCCTGCAGTAGCACTGACGGAATATTCTGGACCAACATCAAAATTTGTACTATTGACTGCTATGGTATACACAGGTCCTGCTTTAAAGTTTTCGGTATGCTCTCTTGGCCTCAGGATCCGCTTTGAAGTGATTTGCCTTACTTCTCCACCATTTACTTCATTGCAATCAGGAATGTTGCATTCTTCTGAGGTCGATGGTTTGGGAATTGGACATTTTTGATCACTTATCTAAAAATATTAAATTTATCATAAAACTGTTAAACAAACAATAACAGCGCATGTATTATTTTATGGAAAAGTATTAAAGTTAGTATGATACCAGTTACCATATACTTATATTTATGTACATCATTGTCAATTGCCACCGCCGTGCCGCTACCAGACACGTAGCACGTAACAGAGTGGTACGTATCTGTATATATTCGTACCTACTCATAGTACTCATATATTTTGATAGTGTCGTCTTTTATTTTAATGTGTTGTGTGATCTTTAAATAATTATCGTGATATTAACTAAAAAACAGCAAACTTTTTAAAATAACTATTTAAAAAAGTTTGCTGATTAACTTTTGTACCCTAGTTTTCTGAGGAGGAGGTCATTTAGAAGTCTTACAAATAAAGCCGTACACACATATAAATATATACATCCAGTTTTAAAACGTAAGCATCCTTGCGCTATCGGGTAAAAAGAGATTAAAACGACATGCAAGCCTTAAATACATTACAGGGTACACTAGTTGCAATACCTTAGTTATCCCTCTAGCATGATCTTGCACGCATCCCACAATCCTGTGCCTGGTAGCAGGGCCACAGCGCGGACATGGTGACCAAGAAGCAGCTCGCCATCGAGGAGGGCACGGAATTGCACCACAGCGCCTGCGGCGGGCGGAAGGAGCGGAACCAATGCAGTGCACATTTGATACTTCACGATCCCCAGCATTTGCTTCTACGCAGCGGTATTTCCCAAGCTGAAGTAAAGATCTATTTGTCACGGCGAATAGCATGTGTTAAGATTATTTCATAGTCCATAAATACGGTTGCATAATTAATTAATAGCAGGGTTGTAAAGAGAAATAAAATTTCTGAGAGCAGCCGCAGTAACTAAACTGAAATTGGACCATCTACTATCTAAAGATAACAATAATATACTCTCCTATCTTGTAAGACACAACCGTCATATTATATTTATATAACTGTATAATATTCATTTTATTCAACTCATTTCTTATCTTTCTATTTTCGTGGAAACCGCTTTGATTTTGCTATCATCCAGAACACCTCTGAAAAATGTCACCAGAAAGTACAAAGAGAAAAGATGGTCAAAATATTTTACTAGCCTGCTGTAATGTATCTGTGTCCTAATGTAACAATGACAGATTGACTTCAATTACATATTATCGGGCCAGACGACTAGACATTATTCTTCGATTGCATACATTTAGGTCAAAGTTAGAGTGTCTAAGCGTTATTAAACACGTCATCCAAATTCTATCTTATTAGTGTGACAAGGATATTATGAGCTACTCACTTGAATACCTCCACCACAGCTGCGAGTGCATTGAGAATACGACAATATCTTCCATACGAACTTTCTAGTTCCGATGATATTCTCTCCTAAACTTTCTTCAGACATTTCTCTGTTTATATCTAAATGTTTAGGGAAACTACTGGGTCTTGAAAAAGCATCATAATTATGATGTCTTCGAATATGCTTCGAAGTAGATGTAGGTGAAACATCAGTAACATCAGATTTTGTAATAGATTCTGATTCAATGTCACCTGGTAGAGATTCGGTGAAATATTCATATTTTATACTTGGGTTTGGTTGTGTATAAAGAATCTGAAAACGAAAGAAAGAAACATCATCCAATTTCCATTATTATACAAGTCAAATATTACTGAATTTACCGATACAATAAATATAATATCGCGTGTAAGCGAAGTTAATCAAATCACTGATCAATGCTTAGATGCCCTAAACTCATAACATTTTTGATGTATATAATATTACAGCACAACACTTATCTGGAATGAAAGAAGCCTTTTTAATTACATTGGAAATAGCTGTAAAGTATAACTTTTGAGTTTACCATAATATCAATAGGGTGATGAATCGGTCCGTGTGCAAAAACTACGTCTTGTCCTGCATGTCTCGTATATATGAAGCGCGCGCCGGCCGCCTCGTACGTCCCCGCCGTGCTCACCGCAAACTCGCCGTTCATTATGTATGAACCGTTGGATATCTTCAACGCTGTCAAATATTTTATTTTATTTTAAGTATTTAGTGAACATTAACTTTAATTTGATCTCATATTTTATCAATTAATAACTACTCTTTAATCATCGACGAGATCTTTAATCATTAGGTTCTTTATATTCTGAATCAAGTTGCAAACAAAAAAAACTATAACCATATATGTATATATATACATATCCGGGATTATTATTTGCAACCAGATAGCGTTTCAACTGTATTGTAAAGCTTCTCGATAGGTTTACATGCTAAGTTTAGTACAATGCTGATTGATAAGGACCAACCTCACATTTCGGACCATTTACCCTCGTCAAAGAACCATTCACTAACTATTGTAGTATTGAGGATAAAACGTCTAGCCAAATAAGTAATATATTTGTAATATAATTAAAGCATTTTATAGACTGCAGCAGGTAAATCATTTTGTGTCTGAAATATTATAAAGGGTATGTACAAATTCTTCAAGCTACCGTATCATTAACCAGTGAGTTTATTAAGGTGACCATTTTTTCTATCGCATTACATGAAAATTTACAACATATCATGCCAGTGAAGTGTCACGATGGGAATATCTGGCCAAAAATAAAATTGAAAAAGATAATCACGGTTACAAAAACCAACCATATGCGTTTACCTAAAGGTTAATTCTACTTATGTTAAATGTAATAAGCTTAATAGACACAGACCTATATAATTATCACTGGATATAATCTCTGAGATGTTCAGCCTGCAGGCTCCTCGCGGCACAGTAGTGACATAGGAATAACCTAACGGCAGCCGCGGTCTTGAAAACAGCCCTGACACTAGTCGCCGACCACATCGTAACTCGCGAGATGTCGAAACGGCCAGTACACTGTCGTGGCCCACCGCCTGTCAAAATAATCCAGTTATTAAGGAAACAAGTAACATTTACTACTAAACTTATTATTTAATGAAATAAGAACCCATTTGAAAAACTTCTTTTGAAACATAATATTATAATTTATATCACTCCCAAAACTACGACAAATTAGATTAAAAACCTACTAAAGAATTAAACATATGCCATAAAAACTTTACTCTACTTCGCCAGCCAGATAGATGTGGAAAAAAAACTAGTATTAGATGAAATTGATATACATAAGTGAAATAAAGTAATGAATAGAAAATACGAGGCATGGCCTCAGGAAGGCGACACTGATACTGGTGGCGACAATCTTAACATAATGCTTCTGTGATCGTAATGGCCGCTCTACGACTTATTGTTCGTCGGCGTATCCTCCACTCTCAATCTCCCTGCAACATTGTATACTGACAAAGTACAATTTATGATATTGATTAAGATTTCTAACGAGTCAATTGGAAAGTCTAATGCGGAAGAAAATATTGTATCTAACGGAGTCCATCTTATCTACCTTAAAACAAGTTTGTTGGTCAATTGAAATGTTAGTTATACCATAATGGGAAAACAAATGGCAACATAACGTCCAGGACATGCTATAATTTACGCACTGAAAATATTACTATAATAGTTATCGAAACTGAACCTGTTATTAAAATTGCACAAATATGTAAAGGAACCAAACAGCTGATTTCCAATAAGCAAAACTTTTATGCATTTAAACAAGACACGACTTTATCTACATTACAAATATTACATTTGATTTTTTAACATTGTTTTTAATTTAAAGTAAGTTGAACAAAAATGAATAAAAAGTGACAAAGATATCCACTTCAATGCCTGTTATCTACCTACTTATTGGAATTCATACTAAAAACATCTATAAATGCTAATATCAGACACGGCGTCAGCTTCGATAATACTCTTAAAGACTTTAAGCTACTCGCAAAGAAGCTGTGTTTATTACTATGTAATCTTGTGAGAGACTCCTTTAGTATTCAATGTCACTATTTTTGTGCCTCCCACACATATTAAATTATACTACTACTTAATTATACATACTTATTATATTTCTTGAGTATCTTGTATCAATAATAAAGCTGGACAAAATAACTCCTGTTTAGTATTTCACAAGTAAAACTTATGAGAAACTAAACAATTACCATATATAAATATCACCTACTCTATATCGTATGTTGTTACCATCCACTTAAAATCTATAAAGGAAAAGTAATTGAACACAAAACTAATTTTATACTTAAGAAGCGTTAGTTCGTTGGTAACGACATATATTAGCCACAGGTCTTTAGTTCATATAACTTCATACGTGTACAATTATTCGCTTCTTAAAAGACATAGGTATTCACATAACATCTTTTAAGTTTCTGATGCCATTCTTAGTATTTTACTGTTCTTATACATTTTTAAATGACTGCATTTACGTTCAGGTATTTCTGTTTAAATATCACTGATCACAAACTATCTTGGTAAAACCATAAAAAGCAAGTATATAAATGATTCAGCCAGATTTTTAAAATGCTTTAAAGAGTGTAACGTCTGAAATTAATACAGTAAATGTTTTTTTAGCTTATTTCATTTAAATAACACCAATGTCCGCACTTTCTGGGCTCGTGGGAAAGTATTACAAAATATTAAATGTTACTTTACACTACTAATTTAATTAATCCGGTCACAATGATGTTGTCATGGACATTAATCAGTGAATACTTAGAGTGGTATATTTATAAATCAAACGAAGTGGTAATTGAAAACGTTTACTAATAGGCTATTAATTAGGATTAAGCGAGAGTTAACGAATCACCTGTCTCTGAGCGGTTCTACGAGGCTTTGAACTGTGTTTTATGTGCCTCTCTGATTACTAGACAAGTTGCTTAACTATGAAAACAATTGACCCCTAAACCTATTTCATCTTTTTTTTTATAGCCACACCAAACTGCGAAAGTCACATTCTTTAAAGTAAGATGATATTCCACGGAATCCTATAACGACTCATTATTACCCCGAATGTTGTATAAACGGTCGAGGATACAGTATTTTGACTAATGAAGCGTGGGCGTAACGATCTTGATTTTCCTCACAGAACAAATGTGTACTGTCACAAAATGCGACAAGTCGAATAATCCAGTTCATAAGTTTACATAATAAGAGCGGCACGTCTATAAACTGTCCATATAATTGGTCAGAAAACTTTAATTGGCCGTAATGTCTTCTTATAAATCAATTAATACACCAACCTCCTTTCTTGGACTGCACTGATTATATCTTGACTTCTCGACTTGCTCATTGAACTGTATCATTTATATACTTAGCAGTAAATGTAATAAACATATAACTGGCACCGGCCACCAGTGCTGTCAAATTAGTTGTTACATTTGTTAGCACTAATCAAGATAATCCATAACGATATTATCGCTTGTTAGTTTTATTAATGTTACCTAATGTTATTATAATAGAGTATACAAAATAAGCAAACAGTACTTACTAGGGCGAACAGAACGAAAACTAGGCCGGAAGCAGAGAGCATATCGGAGGTGTTGTCGATGTATGCAATAGATAAGTTATTAGATAGCACTGTTGTTCACACGAAGATGATCTTTCAGTCACACTTGATGGATGTCTAACATTTTCAATGACACATGTTGAAATTCAAAACGCCCTTAATTAGCTGTATAGCAAACGACTAATGCATTCTTTTCATATGAGTTATTGTTTTGTTAGGTGTTTAAAGTTTAATTTACGATATTAACCAGTTGTAATATTTAATATCGTAATTTAACTCCCAAATAAATAAATTCATAATGTTACAACGTAATCAAAATGTTGCACTTTTCATTACACGAATCAAGTTTAATGGTAAATCATCTAAAGAAGTGATATTTACCCAAGGTTGAATTTTAATAAGCTTACTGGTATTTTCAAAATATTTAATGTACCAAAACACAAGTAAAATTAATGAAACATAACAGTTCAACTCATAAATTATCTTAATGTCCTCGAAGGTTGCGCTGTGGGGAGAGAGCCAAAACTCAACCAGATATTTAAATAAAGTAATTATTATTGGTACTCGTGGTAATGATAACTTTATTGTTAGTCGTACGCACAGGCAAGATTAATGGTCGCTTTGATCTCGCTACATGAATTGAATTTGATTCAAACGAGTCTTAGGCTAATCCACATTGAAATCTTTATACGATTATGCGACTACCGGTGGCTTTGACAAAATCCATACGCAGTCGCTTCGATGTCATTGCTTTTGCATTCGTCATAACACTTTTATTCTAAAGCAGAAGACAGATTACGTGTTTTCATGTTAAGTATAATATTATCACGTTCATAGCATCTAAGATTAAGATGCATTCATGAATTTCATATCATTTCCATTCAAATATCTTCGAAAAATATACTTTTATAAAGAGCGAAGATGACGACGGACGCTTTAGATGAACGCTGTTATAGTATTAAAAAGAAGATTATTATAAATATAGTCATAATATTCCTTCAGCTGGCAACTGTATTAAGTTGACATAACAGCAAAAGCTTAAAGTACTGTTATTATAATTGAGCTGGAAGTATTTCAGGTATATAAACATTTTGTAAAACAGATCCTAGAACGTAGTAATCCTAAGTACTCATGGAAAAAATAGAATTATCTGCGATTATTTAAAAGTTTCCAGAATGCATTAAAAGGTAATACAGTAATTGGTTTAACGCTATTAAAAGACTAAACGCCTTACGCTAGAGCGCCACCCAAAACCTTCACATTGTGTGGAATGATTAACCATGATCGGATTAGCGTTTGGTACATATCGTTCCAAAGCATAAATAAGGTGCGTTTACATGTCTTATGTACTTTTAGGGTTTTCAACACAGTACCAAATTTCCAGGAATACAAGAAATTTAACAATACGAATTAATTAATATAGATACTAGCTGTACTGGTACCCTGCCACGCTTCACTATGACAAATTGTGGTTGAATTGATGAGAAAACAAATGAGGAATATTTAATTAACGGTGAGTATTATATTTTTTACACGTGTTGTCAGGTGTAAAAAAGTAAATTCAATAAAAAAGTTACTAATCAATAAAAAATATTTCGGTGATTAGTTTTAAAAGAACAAAGTCGCTAGCAAAAATTTACTGTGACAATTTCTCAAGTTATAGTGGCAATTCTTGGACCAAATTATATGAAATGATTAATTTTAAATATAAATGTACATGTTTATTTAATTTTTTAAATATTTTTAATAATGTAGGTACAAGTTTTTACAGACTAATAAGATAATATTAACCGACATATATAGCTTACACATACTTAAAATAGGTTTTCGTGAGATTATAGTGTTTATGGTACCTAATGATCCAGTTTGAAAGCTCCATGCAGAATATTGTACGACATATAAACCAGTATCACAGGGTTCATAAAATAGCTGGTGGACGAACGCCAAGCTTTCACGACGACATTCATGAAGGTAGTTAAAACGAACACTCCACACTTGTTCTTCAAAAAGGGTAACTGGCACAGTGATACTATCAATCATAACATATATCAGTTCTAACATTGTTTCCATATTAAAAGCTGAGGTAATATTAGATTAAATTCGGTATCTTGTCAGTATTGATTTTATCGGAAATTGAATGACATACCTACATATGCATATGTTTGCATGTATCAGTCCAAATGACATGTTAATATATCACAAAAAATTTGAGGTGTAATTGTTATAGTCATCATCATCATACTAGACCTGAGAAGTGTCAAATGAATATTTAATCTACTTTCTCAAAGAGCGGTCTTCAGTAAGTATCGGACCGGTTCCCTGTCATTTATAGCCTGCTCATTGCTATTTCATTTTATAATAAGACCTGATTTGTATCTATATTGTGATTGATTTTTATTCGAAATACGGTGTTTGAACAAGTCATTTATTTCATTGTCCTACACATAATTAACAAAACTAAAGATATAAATTTTTGAGGAATCGTTATTTTGTCTAGGTATTTTGCATTTCAAAGTTATATTTAAAGCTCTCACGATTATTAGGTTTTTCTCTAGTTGTGACTTTAATATTGATAAAACTAATATACCTACACCAGTCGTTATCATGTTTCATAACCTTATGTATTGATTGCACTAAGCGCATGACGTCGATCCATAATACAAAATCAAGAATGCTATCGTTACCCTGAAATGATATTTAATCATACGTTCCTGTTACACACATGATGCCAATTTCATCTATGAGTAATATATGAGTTCATCGTTACTGAAAATACATTTATTAATCTGAATCATCCGCATTAAGATATTATATAATACCAAATATATTTGTCCAATCACCGCCACTGCATCACAATTGGCTGAACAATCCAATAAATATTAATTTCAAACAACTAAACATAACCAATTTAAAACCAATATAATCTATTAAGTTAAACCATCAATCTACTTTTAAATATATCTTCCCTTCAGTGTTGTTTATTGTTTTACTATTTTATATTTCAAAGTCGTTAAAATTTTTAGTGTGGATGTCATGTTTTGGGGCCATAAATCTGCTGAACTAGTCTCCCTATTTAACCCCGATTTGGTCGCGTGTCACCACTAAATATTTCAATTATTGTTATAATGGTATTTGTCACTACGACATGGCCACCATAAAATAAACATTTGATAGCTAAGATAAATAGATTTTTTAAAATTAGTTTTAAAGCTATATATTTAAGCAAAATAATTCGTCGTACACAGTACATATACTCATCAATGATGAAGCTGTTCAATATTGTATGTAATATGTTCTTTGTTTAGTACCTAATTGTCAATCCATCATCTGTTTATGACTAGACATCTATACACCCTTTTCTATACACGTGGATATTCACGTATATTTCTTTTTAATTAAGTTACAAAAAAATGCTTAATGTATTACTTCGTTATAAAAAATATGTCAAAACTTCACACCCATTGACATGATTTAATAAATAGTTATAAAGATTATATCATAAGTAGTTCGTCTATTATTAATAGGTTGAATAAATTTATGAAAAGCATCAGCTTTGCTATAAAATGTTGGTGCTTATTTACATTGGCAAATACAACCATATTGTTACAAATGCATTAAGATCTGAAGTATTTATGAAACTCCCTCTCAGAACCAAATACTTCCAATGTATTTTTAACGAGAATATAAAACATGCAGGTCAGGTAAAAGGAAAAAAAAGTGTATTAACTCATGTAAACACAATTTATAAGATTAAGCTGTTGTCAATGCTGGCCGCTATCCAGACATTAAAATTTACGGGTAAAAAACGAGAATCAATGAATGTTGATGACACTGTTATAACTTGGTACGGTTTCAAGGCATTTGCAACAAGACAGAGACTTAAAACTCATTTGGATATTTTGTAGTGCATAAACTTCAGTTATTAGAACAGAGTCTTACTCTAGGGTACTTATATGCAAACATCTTTTTGGACAATAGAATTTGCTTGGCTTGACTCACTTAGTTAGGTTGTAATAGGATTTCTAAGAGATAAGCATAATCTCGCCACTGCATTACGATACACCCAGGTTCTTGAAACTACACAAACAATAGAAGAATTCAAAATAGTTTTGTGTAAGACGCAAGATAATGCCGATTATGTCCATTGAGAACGTAGACACATTTGAACACCTGGTAATTTTTTTTTCAACATTCAGTACCTACTGGTCTCCAACGATTGTGAGGTACGTTGTAAGACACAAAGAAATACTGGCCTTTTATCCCTTATATACCCTTATCTAATCCTTTTAATACATTACCCTTTTTTCGTATTAGGGGAACGCAGGGTAATGAGAGCGGTCGGGCAATGGTAGCTATGGTGATTGAACGGAACCCATGAACATTCGCGCGATCGTAAGCACTTGGCTGCTTCCGTCAACTATCCACAAACTACGCCTGACGCGCTCGAACTGCTAGTGTCATTCGTTTGGTCACGAGGGACGATTGCGTGTTTTTTGCTCCACGCTTACAAAAAATTGACAATTGCCAGGATCAAGGTAAGCATGAAATTGTATTCTTATTTTATTGTATTTGTGCTTATTATATCCCTAGATTAATTTACTAACAAGTCCAATTAGTTGTATTGTGAGTGAAAGTAGAATTACATATTTATAGTGTTACTTTTCAAAATTGTGGTTAGCGGCTAATGGTAGCCTAGCTTGGCTCTCATTACGTTTAAGAGACATAAAATACCTTATTTTTTGTTTTAGATGCCACGTAAAAGGAATCGAACAACCACAAAAAAACATACCAAGAAAGAAACCAAAGAGATTAAAAGTAATTATATAATTAAAAGTTCGTGTTTAGACTTGTTGACAATTTGTTTAGACACTGGAAAAAGTGGAGAGATTGTGGTACAGATGCAGAAGTTGCGGAAACTGGGCCCATAACGAGTGCTCTGGCAGTGATAGTTCAGATTCCTATATTTGTTTGAATCTCTAAAGTCTGGATATTTTGTTTTTCATTAATAATTACATATTTACTTA